TCCTATTAGGCAATGTCCTAAATATTTGTTTATGAGCCATGTCAGCAGTCAGACATTCCTATACTTATTTGTATATAATTTGTAATGGAATACTTCGGTGCTTAGTTACTCATTAACTAATCTTATGAATGTTGCATTCGGTATAAGCGGTGTGTCATATTATGTACTTTTTAGGGGCTTATTATGAACTTAGTAATTAGTAAGTACGGCTTACAAGTTGTAAGTAATTGATGACGGATTTAAGCATTGTGTCTCTTTCGTGATTGACATATGATTCTGAAGATTTATTTGTTATATAACGACACGAGTTCATTAAATTTGTAATTAAATTCGAAGAATTAGTTTAAACCAAGGTTGTTCGATGAATCGACAGATTATTATGTATATTTATATAAACGTTACAATGCACATATTTTGTCATGTCATACAGCTACTTTAAAAAATATTGTTTATACAACAAAAATATATTTATTTTAATTATATGCGTTTTTTTAATAGGAAGGTCACTTAAAAATATTGAAAGTAATTTGGCGTAATGTTTCGGCTAATATAGGTACTTACACAAGCATCTAAATCGATTGTTCCAGGAGTATCAACATCGGACATAGTGGCAAGGATAGTACGAGATTACGATATCTACGTGCGACGAAACCTGGCTCGCGGCTATTCAGCCAAGGAGCTAAACGTGGGCTTCCTCAACGAGAAGAAGTTCCGCCTACAAAACAAGATGGATGATCTCAAAGAGAAGGGCAAGAAGGTGAATATTTTTTTTCTTATCACCAAATAAAGCTTAAAATACACTTTTAGTCGTGATACTCTTCTACTGTTCTGTTGGTAATTTGTATACTTTTATTTTAATACTTTGTAACGAGCACCTAGCTTCGCTGACGAACAGAACGACAGACTTATTCTATATTGACGTTTCAAAAGTACCTATTTATGGATGGTTAAGTTGGAATTAATTAATGATTTTGACTTTGTCTTGCTTTTTGAACGTTTTTGTTTGAATTTCGTTGTGTTGTCTCTACCGGTGCATGAAGATTTTAGAAGAGATATTTTAGAAGAGATTCTCGGAAAAGTTTCCGTCTTAAATATAGACACAACACGAGCAGTTATTTATTTATATTTTGCCTACACTTGATCGTAGAATAAAATAAACTAATTAGATAATACACTGATACAGCTGTGTAGATAGCACTTTAACATTTAACCTTGCATTATCGCTTATTAAAAGCTAGTTTAGTTCTTTGCAAATATATTGTGGATGTTGAATTGTTGATATAGTGTGTGACCTCACTCGATGTTGCCAAGAGCACGGCAACCTGTTGCTGTTTTGGTTACAACGAACTCTTTCAGTAAACATTCAAATTTAAACCTTGAAACTAACTGAACTTGATCGAGTTTGATATGAGTTCTCGGTCTTTCGCACTAGCTATTGTTATTATTGTAGCTAATATAGCTAGCTTGTTCAAATATGAGATCATTTTTCATTTTTGCTCTACAGTGACTCTAAATCAAAGAAGTTTGTTTGGGCAAAGTTATAATAAGTTCATCGACCGAATTATATATAGGAACATAGATATAGCGGAATTTAAACAATAACTAATGAAATGATGTTAGGTAGGCTACACGTTCTTGTATTTTTTGTCAAAAAAAATTTAGGTAACATCTAACAGCCATTAGGATCAGTATTTTTGTTTTTATTTCGGAATGGGTAGACATTTGGTCGCTATCACGCCTGGTGGTAGACGATAATGCGATCTGCGATGGACAATGCCTACTCATAAGCAACCTATTCACTCGGGCTTTGAAGACACCCAGGTTCCCCTTCCCCTTCGGGGAACACAGACACAGCAAAGAATTCCACTCCTTATCGGTTATGATTATGAAACTGGGGGCGAACCTTTGAGATTTAAGACAAGCTTGCTGCTTATTGATTGCAGGTGATGACAAACATAGGTGAGAAGCGAGTGGATATCCTAACAAAGTGGGAGGAGAAGTCTCGGGAGCTGATCGACGCGTTCCTGCTGCTGTTCGGGCCTGATGGTCGGCTGTCCAACATATGGAACGAGTCCAAGGGCCGCCTCATGCAGGCGCTCAGCCAGCCGCCCTCGCCGCGCGGCTCCCCGCCTCCCGGCGAGAACGGAGACTCACACTCCCCCGTACACAGGTAACTTAAATACACTTTTATTTTACTTAGCTTTACTTACTAAACATTCGATGTTTTGTTAAAGTCGCATTACACACAGCCATGTCGCATTTGCTACATTTGATTACAAACGAAAATTCATAAACATTGAATACTTTTTATTTGGATAGCATGAGTCAATCGGCTGGTAAAACCTAGGTAGGCCTTTATTAATTGTATAATAAACCTTACTTGGAGATTCTATCCGAAAACACTGTACGACAATTAATACATAATATACAAAAAACCAATTATATGTCATTGTTTTTGTTGCAGCCGGAGCTCTGTCTCGCCGCCCCCGCCCAAGTCGCGTCGCTACGAGACACTGTACGAGGCGCAAGCAGGTAACTGGGTAATTATTGCACCGCTTGTATTAGTCACACGCACACACACACACACACACACACCTACACTTGCTCTATTTGTGTGAACACTAATAAATCACCTTACTTGAAATTCCGAGTGCATTTTCAAAGCACTTTTTACGCACTAATTTTTGCAAATATATTTGTCAATTTTGTGTTTGAATTGATAGCTTGCCTGTTTAGCCTTATTGGTTGACGTAGTATACAGATCGTAGACTGCTGAGTTTCTTATTGTGAGCATGTGCTTAGCTATGTTAGAGCAAAATATGTAGCTTATCTAAAGAACTACGAAGTAAATGGAGCATTATTAGATAGTGACTCACTGTGACTGAGACTAACAGAGTATGCCCCCGCAGATGCATCGAGCTCTGACCGCGCTGGCGACTCGGAAGCGGCCTCACAGCGACAGCTGACGGACGACGGCTCGGACGACAGCGACGACGAGTACCAGGACACCAGCCCCTACCTCTAGGGCCTCCACAAAACGTTTTAGAATAAATTAAGTCGTTTAAATTTTGTATGCGCGTTGAGTACAATTGAGCGAGTGCGTCAATATTATGTGATCATAATATGAAATCATAAAACCTTAATCCTATAGTTATTTATTTGTCTTGTTAAGTAATTTAGTTCCCTTTCTCGCCCCAATATTATTGCAGGATGGCTGCATGTTGTTAGCACCTATAAATACCATTGTGTAAGATATCTGGTGCAAAATACATAGAGTTGAGATATTAATTTTATTTATATTATTAAATAACTAGGTGACACTTTTTGACAGTCGATTAAAAAGGTGCTTATTAATGAGTAATTTGTTTCATTTCTTTACTTTAACATGATTTTAGAAGACTTATTTTATTAGAGGACACTAAAACTTTTAGGTGGGATCCTACAAATTTTACTGTTATACATTTTGTTCGATGTCGAATACGCAACTAGCTGGAGCCAAGGTGGGTTCGTGTAGCTCCTAGCTCGGCGTGCGTTCGTGCAGCGGAATGTTGTTACGAAACGGTACTTCGAGAAATTCAAATTTGTTAATACTTTGGGCTATGCCGATAACTATAACTCTCAATCACGTCATTTCGTATTTGATTCTGCGTCGGGGATCGAGAGATGATCTCCGGCCACCGTAAGCGCGGGTCTGCGGTCGGCGAGTAAGGGCAGCTCGCCGCCCGATCAGAACCAGGCCCGAGCGTACTGCGCGTTCAGCGCCAATAGACCACCACAGACGGGGCCCTAAAGGGCTGATGTTCAGCCAGGGTTGCGGGGTAAGCGCAAAGAGGCACCGCGAACTCGGCCCAGAGCAGGAGAAGGAACAAAAACTATTAAATCCAGTAACTCTGTTAACAAAGTAATTTTCCAGGACATTAGGTTTGTTAGTGAGCTCTAGGTAGACTTATGGGCATTGTTTTTTTTTTATGTGAATGGTCGGCAAACGAGCAGACGGATTACCTGATGGAAAGGAATCAGCGCCGCCCATGGACACCCGCAACGGAGAAGTTACGAGTGCGTTGCCTTACGTTACCTTTTAGGGATTAGGGATTTTGGAGATTTAGGGATTGGGGGAGGGGAAGGATTGGGCCTCCGGTAACCTCACTCATAGGCGAAACGCAACGCTGTGGTTACTTCACGCCGGTTTTCTGTGAGGCCATGGTATCACTCCGGTCAAGCCGACCCATTCGTGCCGAAGCATGGCTCTCCCACACTCAAATAAATGTTTTAAGTCGAGAATAGGTACACTAATACTGCAACAAGATAAATATTTCATAATATGTATGCATGTTCAATTTTTTCAGGTGAAGGAGAGTATCAGTCACTTAATAACTAAAACTAATTTTACAAAAGCAAAGAAAACTTCTAGATAACTAATAAATTGCTTTATTTTATTAAAAATATATATGCTAATGTCAATATTTGAATACAAAAATAAAAGATACAACATGATTCACATACTAAACACTGATAAGGTAGATTTAGAAATAAATGGCAGTTCAGATAAAAAAGGAGTCACAAAGCGAGGGCAAAAAACTTCAGGAAATTAATAATAATAATGTAAAAATATGTACATTTTGAGTGATCTTATCTTTTTTATAAAAGTTGTTTTTTGAGTGCACAGTATAAACCTAATCCTCCTTATTACAAAACAAGATTTATCTTTAGTCCAGGTTTAAACCATTGAGTTGGGTTTTGAATTTTGAATCTTATTGTCATCTACCTTCAATTTGAAATACAAAAACTGGCTCAATGGTTTAGTCCTAGACTAAAGTAAAACCTTGTTTTGTAATAAGGCCGATTAAGTTTTGTTAACTACACTTACATACTGTCCTATGACTAAACTTACAATGAATATTAAAGTAGAAATGCCTTCATTTTATCACAAAGTGCTTTAACACAAACTCATTTCAATACAGATTGTTCTTGTACTTAATTTTCTAAAACAACAATTACTCTCATAGTTCTGATTTGTCAGCAGAACCTCTCTCACCCTTAGCTGTAGTTAGTTGTTCATTCAAACATGAGTCATCAGTCCCCTTCAGCGCATTGTAAGTACACAAGTGCTTGATAAGATCTACCTCCCCTTGGTGATTCCAGTACCAGTCCTCAACAGCTCCCTCATTCTCTTCCAAAAGACTTTCGCATTGTGTTTTCATGTGAGTTATCTCAGCTGATGGCTTGTCCCACAACTCTAAGGGAATCCCAAGGTCCACCTTCACACCCTTATCAACTAAACCATGTAGAGTTTTAAACGTTTGACTCATGCCTTTAGCGAACCTCGTACTATCCTGACGTTCTTTGTGAATATTGTACTCCAATATCTTTTCACAAACACCTTCTAGAGACTCGATCAACCTCAGCTCCGACTTTTGATACTTAGTTTTCTTCTTAGGCTGCACATCATCGAGTGAATAACCGATTTCTATCACATCATGAACTTTACCGGTCTGCTCAAGCCTCTCTTGTAACTCTGTAGCCAAAATCTTGCAAACTTCACAACGGTTAGCATACTTAACACCTACATCTTCCTCTGATTTGATCTCACTATCGTCACGACATAAAACTTGTGTTGTAAATAGTAAATAAGCACAAATAATTGAAAAAATCATTTTAATTAATTAATGTTGCTTCAAAATTCTATCCTCAACCTAACACTTGTATTCGTGAAATTTGACAGATGCTCAATGCTGTTGACATTGACATTAGATAGGTATATAAAATCCTTGTCAATGCTTAGCGAATGAGAAACATGCCCGTATTGTTTATTGCCGCAAGTTAATTAATCACAAGCGTCTCCAATTTTTAACGAACATAACAATACAATGTGTAGAAATCAACAGTAACACTAAGCGAAATCTTTGATCCTTGTAATCTCCAAAATCTACCACCTTAGCGGAGTAGTAACGTCTCAACCACAATGTCACTGATTCGAATTTCGGGTCCAGTAGTATTTCTATTTGAATTTACTAGATAATTTACATTGCGTTTGTTCACTATCTTATATGCTCTCTGACTACCTCACGTCAGCCTAAAAGTGCCCATTGCTTACTCTGCTTAGCAAAGGCCTCTTCTCATACCAAAGGAGGATTAGCGATGGCAAACCTATAGTTAGAATTTATAAATCAGGTTTCCTGGCGATGTTTTCTTTCACCCTGCATATGTCAGTGGTGTGTAAATAATCATAAAAACTACATATAAATTGGGAACTGTCTCACTGGTCACTTGCTAGGTTTCACAGAGTACCTTGTATTGTATAGGAACCAGGTTTCAAACCCTCATGGATGAGGAGCTGGCGTCATTACCTCCGGGCCACTTTAATGTGCTAAGTTGAGATTGGTACTGGGTAGGTGTTATAACTTACAAGAAACTACTAAAGTAACGATCGTGCTCAGTTTGAAAATTACAGGCTAGCAGCTATTCTCTCATCGTTCCCGAAATTATTTGAATTCATCTTACACAAACAGATTTGTCTACAAGTGATACTACATTTATGTGATTCACAGTACCTATGGATTTAGATTTAACTGTTCTGTAAGAACTTGTCGTTTAATACTTAACAGCAGTAGATCTCCCAAGATTTGGATTAATATAATGAAACGGAGTGTTATGATGGTAATTTATTTTGATTTTAAAAGGCCTTTGACCGTGTATATACGGATGTTCTATTGGGTAAACTCAATAACATTGGATTCTCACCGAAATTACTTAAATTCTTCTCGAGTTCCATACTTAAGAGATCCTCAACAATATGTGAGGCATGGTTGTTATGTTTCTTAGCATTATCTACTCGATCGGGTGTCATTCAGGGGTCAGTTTTGGGTCCTTTATTTTTTGGATTAATGATAAACGATCTGGGATCGTGTCACAAGCAAGCTAGATATTTCTTGTATGCTGACGACTTATTTATGAAGTAAAAAAAAATGCAGATACGGAAACCTTGCCAATGGTTATTGATGCAGTGTACCAGTGGACCAATGAATATAAACTTCATTTTAATACAGCCGATTGCAATGTAAGGCTTCAGTCAGAAGAATTGATAAATCGTATTTTCAACGTAAAGGACTTATACTCGGATAAGGATATAAGGATGTATATTCGACTCTCGACTAAACTTTCATGAACTTAATGAAGTCCCGTAGTTTTCGTTATTCGCAATGTGCGTGAGTTTGATAATGGTGATCAAACTAGTGTAGGTACAGGGCTCTGGTCCACAGCAAGATAGAGGCAGCTTCTATAGTATCGAATCCTTACAAGAAGACATATTCGTTATCGCTGGAGAAAGTGCAAAAATCATTACTAAGATTTCTCTACAAGAACTACCTATATGACTTCGTCCGTTCGTCTTTGATGTCTGTCGTCCGTCCGTCGGTCTTCGTCCATCCGTTCCTTTATTTATACATTTTAATTCTTTGGTGGTCAAGCGTAATTACTCTCATTATTTTAAACTGCAGTATATTGCGAGAAAATTCTAAATGTCCCGATTTGGTGGCACACACAGGTACATTATTGTAGTGTTGGTGCCGAAGCACCAGTTGAGGCCGTGTAGGCACATCTTCCTCTTATTGGCTGTGCCGGGCGGCATGAACAGTCGCGCGTGCAAACTCTACGCTTGTTCGAGCTCTAACAATGGTCAATGCTTTTCCCATCCACGACAGAATGTAATCATTCTTACAGCACAGCGAAGACTTGTATGTCGGGAATGCTTATGATTTTGTGATCTAATGAGGTGACTGAGGATAAGTTATAACTTATAACTTGCTTTTATTTCTTTTATTTGACATTATTTTTTGACTGTACAATTTGTTGACATAAGTAAGCTGTAAAATATAATAAATAAGAAACACATGATTTGTATTTTAGGTTTTTCAGTAAAACTAAATATTTTTAGCAAGTTTGTATTTCATATTGTGTTTGTTCATTTAACCATTTCATCCATTCTTCATTTACTACTTTTTCCAGAGTAATTTCTTGAAAGACTTCACTCAAAGACTTTTCCTGAAAACCTAACTTTTGAAACATTTTGATACTGATATTGTTAGAAAGTGATATTTTTGCTTCAAATATTTTCAAATTTATATGTTGAATTCCATAGAGAAGCATCAAGATAACAGCTTCCCACCCAAACTTCTTCCCTCTGGCAGATTCCTCTGCAATCATTATTTCTATTTCACCAACTCCAAGACCTTTTTCTGTTATAAAAATATTGGTATCTCCAATCATTGCATCTGAAATAAACTGAGACATAAATAGTGGACAGAATAAGAATTAGTAACTTAGTACCTAGGTATGTTATATCAATACCAGAATTTTAGGTCTATTTGTTAAATTATCGATTGGACACTGTCTTTGGTAGTATTTTATGAATGTTAATAACCTACCAGTTAGAATCATATAGGGCTATAGTTTGATTTTAAAATATGAATCCAATTGCATAGCCAATGACTATAAGGTTAGGACCATATAATATATTTACCTGTTTCTTCGTTACATTTCTCAAATACGACTTTATCTAGTATTATAAAAGTGCATTCTGCAAACAAAATGTTTTAATTAATTTTAAGATAATTAACTACAACCTACAACATAAGTGTAGCAAACAATGGCAAATATATATGAACAAAACACACTATCATCATCCTCTCGCCATGATTTTTGCATTTCATATTCCTGTTCCAGAGTTAATGGCTCAGAGGCTGTCAGCTTCTGAAGTTCTTCAGATTTCATCCATTTATGATACCTGCGGGTGATAAAAGAGGTTAGCTGAATGTTTGTTACCAAGAATTTTATATCTTAGGTTCATTTCAAAATGCTGAACACTAACCTAGGTACATGATACTCCCTATATGGTACTAGTACTACATTTCGCCCCATAATTTTAGTATTGCTATTTAATTTCATTTTTCTTTTTAGTTCTCTACTTTTCGTCTTGTTTATTTACATATTTAGTTATGTCATTTGTCATTTTTGACATTAAGTACAGCTGTCAGCCATGCTAATATTCTCCAAAGACCTTGTACTAGAGTATAAGGTCTTTGATCTTCTCTGTATCGTTCCAATTTTAGTATAGGTATGTACTGCCGAAGCAAGTACCTACAGTACAGCTGTCCTAACTCCGCGTCCAGAGTGATTCTGTCTACGCCTAACTCCTATTCTCGTAGTTGTCAGTCTTCCATATTCGCTTGATTATTATACTTAATGAATAAGTTTAAGAAAGGTTAAGGAATAATTAAACAATATTCAAGTATTCTTAAACACAAATGTATTTTGAATCTCATTGTTATTTAACTTTAATTCGCTTGAGATAGTGACGAACGCAACTATTACACGTCAATTATGACATTGTCAACTGTCAAATTTGGCGTCTATTGTTCACGCATTGGCTATGTTCATCGCTTTTTATCGCGCGGCCTTATCGTAGCTAATGTTTATCTAGTTTTCGCACTGCCCTTCTTTATATTAACGCGTTATCATATCACCTATACTACCTCACACATAGCTGACCTAAATTAAATGCTAAACATTTACCGTACTGTTTACCTAATTAATATTTTTTTGCATTAGTCAACAAACTCGAGTAAGTTGTTGTATTTATTTCGAAATCTAATAATTTTGTTATTTAAAATTGCTATTACACTATAACTTTTCTTTTCAGTAATCTATTACGATGAATCAGTTTCAAACGGAGAGACGTCTTTGTTGGAGCTACTTATTCGCGGCAGTGCTTCTTGCTGTGTCAGTGTTGTGTATTGCAATACCGTACAACCACTGGCGTACTACCCTGGATTTGTGTCCTGGCGGATACTTTGAGAATACAAACTGCGGTTGTATACTATATGGAGTAAGCACATCTCAGACCTTCAATGGTGGTCATAACTCCTACTGCTTGTACGCGGTGTTCGCCCCACTGCCTGTAATCGCGTTTGCCGTGATTATGGCCCTGTTCCATATGTACAGAGTGTGTATCAATAATATAGGACAGTATGAGGATGAAAAATCAACTACTATGGAAGAAATGTGAGTACATATCTGCTTCACAAAGACAAAATTTTACCACCAAAGGGGCAACCACAATAATGTATGCTATATCAATCCATCATCCTTGACCTGGAGTAGAATAACATAGTTTTTAGTCAGTTAGAGTTTGACACTCCCTTCACCCTACCTAGGGCGGGAGAAGTCATTTGGAGATATTGCCCCCTCAAAAAAACACAAGTTGATGTATAATATAAAGTCTTAAATAACAAGTATCCTGCTTGGTTCTCTAAAAGTTTAATAAAATGAGTAGAAAGAAACATAAAACACCAGGTTTAAATAATATGGGTATCTAAGGGATTATGACATGTTTCAATGCTTAGAACTGAAGTAAAATTACTCACTAATCAATGCTTTAAATCTTACATCAAGCAAATTGAAGATCGTCTTATGGTGCTACACTAAAAGTAAGGGGCCCACTAATATTGTCCCCAGCCATGTGTACTACGAGAACAGGCACTTCTGGTTGTGGCATTGTGAACCTGTTTGCTGATTACTTTTCTTTGGTATATTGCTCCAGTGCAACTAGCAAGTACTCACCTGCATCATCAAACTCGTCAATTACTATTTTGTATATTCGAGAAAATTATGGTCATGATTGAATTTCTCTAATATTTCTTTGTTTGTGTGCAACTGTTTTGGCGAGTCAGCTCTGTATCATTTTTAATAAGTAATTTAAGGAAGGCACCTTTCCTAAAGTCTAACATGTCACTAATATATAAATCAGGAGATAAAGAAAATGTCGCAACTTACCGTCCTATCTGTGTTCTTAATTATTTCGTCAAAATCTTCGAAAGTTTTATCTATAAGCATACTTATTGTCATTTTAAAACCATATTAGGTCTAAAACAACACGGATTTGCCACTCTAGGTCTAGAAACTCCTATATTACACGAATTATTTTGTGAATCAATTGTAAAAAGCAAGTCGATTCCGTATCAGATTTCTCCAAAGTTTTCGATCGTGTTGACCATATTATTATACTATTTGCAAAAGCTGAAAGCATAGGAATTCATGGAGATCTGTATCTTTAGATTCTCGATCTGTATCTTAAGACACATACTTAATAAATCGGTCACATTAGTCATACTCAGTGGTTACGACTTTATTCCGTATTATCGGGTGTTCCTCAGGGTTCAAATTTGGGTCCACTGCAATTTTTGATATGTGTAAATGATTTGTTAACTTAATTAAGAGTAAATTTTTTTATCATCATGTAAAAAAAATAGGCAGATACCTGACCAGTAGTGCAATAAAAATTTCATGTCGTTAAGTATAAAAAAGTGCCAAGTCATTACATTCACGAAAAAGAAAGAAACATAATTACCTCACTGAGGAAACTGTTATTGAGAGCGTTTTGGAGGTGCGGGATCTTGAGGTGGTGTTTGATTCATTCTTATCTTTTAGAACTCACTATGTCGTTATATGCAGTAAAGCATGTTATCATTCATACTTCGGACTGCTAAGCCATTTAAACAGGCAAAGTCTCTACTGTGTCCGAATGAAATGCATACACGTTGTCCACGTTTTTCACAGTAAATTTAGCATTTACTGTAAAAAATTATTTAGGTACATTATACCGCTGTATGATTTTATACATCGTTCTTGTGTTATTCGCAACGTTTTCGTTCATTATTAATTTTATTTAAAAAGTATACTACATACTAAAATATTATTGACCCTTAAACGAGGCTCTTTTATTTTGGAATGTTGTGTATTGGACTTCAGTTCCACTTAATTTATATGATTAAGGACATTATTATGTATTGTTTTAATCTGACGTCTGTGAATGTTTCAGAGAGGGTGAGTCAATAGTAGTGAGTACGAGAACCAGAGTGAGCAGGAAAAATGATGCTGTGATATATTGCTGGATTCCTACATCTAGTATAGCTGCCCTGTTTGCCGTGTATTCTCTGGTTCATGCTTCTATTGTAACCGCTGGCTTCTATAAAACCTGCAATCAGTACAGAGGAAATTTAGTGAGGGTAAGTTTAGTGTTCACAAATGCTGTTACTGAGAACTAGAATAAATCGTTTCATAAGTATGTTCTTGGTATTTTGTCTACTACACAATACATCAAAGAAATAATTTTAGATTTTGTTTTTATAAATTAATTTTTTTTTTGTTCAGGATAAACAACTCGCCCATAAGATTTATTGACTATTAATATTTAAGCAATATTGTCACTAGACAACATTCAATAACAATTATTAAATGACTTGCAGGAGTTCCGTGCCGCTGGGGACCAGGCAACCGCGATACATTTCCGACTGGCGTGCCAAGCAATTTACGACTTTATGGATTACCTACAAAAAGACGCACCAAATAGTCGGCGAGGTGATATCATCAACACAGGTGTGGCATTGCAGCTCGCAATATTCTGTGCATGGGCATCTGTAGCTATATGGATAGCTATAGTTATACTAACCGCAATGAGAGCGTACAGAGAGCGACATGTACTCACATGCTGTGGGAACTAATTTAGAAATGGAGTGTTGTAACTATGATGCGCAAACATCCAGTCAATTAGACAAAGTGACATACTTATAGTAAGGAGACCTTCACCTTATTATGTTAATTAAGGTCAAACTAGAACACAACTTGGCTTGTTTTTTATTAATAACGGCAACATTTTCAATATTAGAATTACCTATTGTTACAAGCGGAACTGAATTATGAGTATTTCGGTCTCTCTTGCCTCTTATGAGAATAACAAGACACGAGCTAATATTGTTAATTACTAATTAACATGTGCCTTGAACCTGATGAACAATGAGCTTATACATATCTATATATCTTCCTTATTAACATGAACAATCATGTTGTTGACTTTGCTATCTCAGCCATAAACACAAGTGTATTAGTGAAGACTGAGCTTTAAACCATATTGTTGTAATTTAGCTTTATTGCATAGAAAAACTAAAAATATTCCACCGATCCATTCCAACGACAATTTTACTATTCTTCTAGTAAGTAACATATTATTATGTATAAATACATTTTAGAATATTGTATACCATGTTTTTAGTAATGGTAGATACGATTTTTTTGTACTAAGCGAAAATTATACTTTATTTATTTACGATTGAATGTAATGAAACCAATATGTCGTCCATGTGCCGTCCATTATGTTTAGATGTAAGTTTAATGTTTTTATTTTATATTAAATTAAATGTATTTTATTACATTGTAATATTTAATTTTATACCAGTGAATTATACAATTTCTAATTTATTTTTTGTTTTATTTATTGTGTCAAAACAAGTTTAGTCATGTTTTTATAAGGTTTTGAAAAATAAAATGCAGAAATATCACATTAAAACATTTATTAGTAAACATTACAAAAAACAACAACATTATACTTTTACATTTAGAATCTAACATTTATTCACAATGAATAATAATAATAAAGTACTTGGTGTAGAGATTTCCTGTGTTATATCATAAATAATCTAATTAAAAAGTTATAACAAAAAACATTTTGATCAAAGGCATGCTTTATTTTTAATTCTGGACAGGTCATTAGCTTTCTATTCACTCAGATATGGTTCCAGACCTTAATAGGCAATCCCAATAACCAAGTGTCTGTAGAACCGAATTTTGACAATTTTTTGCCAGAATTAATTTATAAGCAACTGGCTTGATCGATAATTAAAAAGAGATCATTAATTTCCTTATTTAAATATTTTCTTTTTAAAAGTTGCCTTACTCATTACTATCTATACAAAATGGCTCTCATTGCGCAAACTTTATTTGGAGTACGACATTCAATACAATTTTCTACGTAGGTAATAATATTTGAGAGTAATAGATTTTATAGAAAATACTTTTTGTTAACGAGAAAAAGATTCATAAGACTTCGATATACCTTGATTGAAGACACCAAATGTTAATTTTAAGCGCCTTTTTAATGGCACATGGTACAAATTACGTTCTATATTCAAATTTATCTGGTGCAAAGCTGATTTTCAGACATTCGAAAACAGGTCGTTACAATAAATACCATGTTAGTTTACACCAGAAATTGCTTGTAATGTCAGATTTCACAAGTCAATTTTCCCTTACGTTAAAAATTTATATTTCTCGAATTAGCAACCCATTTCTGCCACGATCAATCACGGTATTCCCAGCCCTACTGGGCTGTCCCCTTATTCAACTTTCCTAGACAGATATTGAACTTTATGTACTAGACCTTACAATTTAAAATATATTGTTGTCCAACGAGTGTAATAGGTATCCAATAGGTACATATGTATAATATGAATTATTTATTTTCTATTTATTTCTATTAATTCCTGCAGTGCATAAAGTATTAAAACTTTTAAGTTTATAACAGTTTCGTGTGGTTTCTTACCATAAAATGTACGAAAATATTGCTTTATTTTATAAACATTTTCTAATCTTTTATACCAATAACAAATATAATTATGTTATTGTTCATGTAACAATATATCTATGTGAGTGTATGAAATTTTCATATAACAGAGGTTACATTCTTATAAGATAGTAGCAGAAGTCATATTTTCTTTAAAACGTGGATAAGGATTAAACTCCAAAACTAAAAGTACAAATTATTATGGTCTATCCGTATAGGTAATTAACTAAATGAATATAAACAATCTTGGCATGTCTTTTTATATAAAGATAGTACTTATGTAAAAATATTTACAATCAGGTATTTACCTAAATCGTTGTTAGCTAAAAAACTCAATTTAAATAATTTTTGTATGTATATTACACGACCTGTTTATCAATACACAATCTTGGTATAAAAAGTTATACCAAGATTGTTTATCTTTAGTTAAACACCTAAATCCATTGACCATACAAAATGACATAGGTACCAAAATGGTGGGGAAATGCCAGCCGGGTCTAACTAACAAGTTAGGTAAGTACAATAAAAAAATGGATTACCTATTTAAACATGAATAGTTAGATACATTTTCATCAGAATAGCTAAGGAGTCCGTGTTCCTAAAGGGTAAACCTAGATTTGTAAATCTGTGTATCTTCAAGGCCACTTATCGCTTACCACCAGAAAAAACTGGAACTTTTTTACAACCTTCTTGGGTAAGGTCTAAATAATACGTTTTTTAACACGGTAACCGCCGCGTAGGTCACCGGTGACCTACGGTAGCGGAGGATTTGCCTTCGACAGTTTTCGGTCGGCAGTCAAAGGCTTAATCAATCAACTCTAATGTCCAATCAATCAATTAACTTTGGCTGGATAATGTTAGGTTAAGACCTAGGCTTTTTACTCAAACTTTTAGCATTATCCGTATCTTTTCTTTCTTTATTCGTACCTAAGCAAGCAATAATTCCTTTTTCAATTTGCATCAGACACCTACAAAATTGTTTAAAAAGTACAAGTGCCGATATAGGTACAATATCATAATAGAATAAGCACTTAATTTTGGAATGATTACTTATGAAAAATAGGTATTAAATTCGATAATTATAGTTAAAATAGGGCGAATGAATTACTTTTTTTTAATTCGTAATTCTACTGTTCAATTGAATTAAGTGTGTAAGTATATCTTACGCATCCCAATATAAACGTGTTTAGTAACTAAATAAATTGTCATAAATAGGTACCTACTTACACTGCTATTAAAAGAATATGTTTTAACAAGTGATAAAAATAAATAACTTTGTTCGCATGACAACTCAACAAAATGTGTGTTGCTGTTTTGTTTTACTGGGTATATATCGCAACTACATAATAAACTATGGATAATGTCTTAAACACGTGTACGTTGAGTATAAGTATCAATGTACAAAATTCATTTACTTAATATTAATAATATCAAGGCATAAAATTGGGTAAATTTCCTAGGTCAAAAATAAATTCATTCGACGTTTCAATAAAATAAAATATTGAAAAATAACTTTACTTATATTCATCGATCGATCGATACACTAAGTTTTCGACTTTTTTTAGCTAATTATTAAGAAATAAGTAAGCTATTTGACGCAAAAATGTTATGACGTCATAACTCAGTTTTTCATACAACATAGAAAAGTATAGTTTTTGACGTTTGGATAAAAGTATTGAATTTGACTAATTGGAAACTACCGTATTCTAGGACAAGTAGCATTTATTTGTAGGACGAGAACACAGAACACTGTCGACTGCAGTGCTTGACGCTAATCATGAATTAAGCGCGATACAAGAACACTTTCTAACAAATTCTCAGCAAGTAAAGTATTCGTTTATTCACAAATAAAATTAACAATAGCAAAGCTAAATGGAAACACGAAGTACGCATTCGTAAAACACGCTGCAGGCGGGCAGTCCTACCGCAAATCATGTACCGCGCGGTAGGGATTTATTTCAATAATACGTTTACAATACACCACGGTAATTAATGTTACCGTGGTTGAGTTCTCACCCATACATAGCCCACGCACGACATACATATACGAGGCATTTAGACCGTCCAACTTATTAACTCTAATAATATTTATCTTAATAATCTTCTTCACAGGCTCAATTTGGCAACATCCTTATATCATAATACACACAATGTAATCTGCCTTGTCTAAAGAACACCAACCTTACCATGCTTTATAAATATTTTTATCGCATTGTTGTGATGAAAAAACTTGTGCTACTAAGATTTTGGCAAACATTATCATTCATTATGGCATTGTGACTTAAAATTAACATAATTCTAATTCTATTTATGAAAGTTACGGTTATTACTGTATTCAACAGCACCTTGGTTCCATATAAAAAAAAATATAATCACAGATTTCATTAACAGTTTGTGATGTATTTACATTTGAGTACTGATTCACTTAGGCGTTCCATAAATATCATCATTCGCTTTTTCCCAACTCTGTTGAGAAAAGCTCACCTTAATCTCTATTTTACTTAAAAAAACTTAATAAATATATTCGACATTTTGGGGCTTCTCTTAACAAACTAGCAACTGGACTGTTGGCAGACTTGTGATCAAATATCTTAGTTGTAATAAATAAAGGGTTACTTGTTGCCACACTCTGCCTCCCAGTCCTCCGGTATCAACTTGGTGATGTGATCAGTAAATTGTGTGTAAGTGCATGGGTCATCACAGAACGGCAACTTTAGCTCCAAAGGAACTTCCACCTTCGTGTTATTACGATAGAATGTCTGGAACGAAAAAATATATTATCAGCTAAAACAACAAATTAATTGCATGCATTAGCAGTTCGAAGTTATGACTGCAAAATCAATAGTACCTTAACGAAGAATGTCTCCTGTTCAATATCTTCATGTAATTCGAGGACGATGCTGGCTCCGTAATCTGGTGCCAGAAGGCTATCAAAGCCCAAGGCACGCCAGAGTGACACCACTGTGACGTCATGTCCTGAGTACACATACAGAGTGCGATCCACGTTCTCGTGGCGAACTGCCTCGTCCAAATACTGCTTCATCTCTTTTAACAGTGGACCTAGAATGATTTTTTAATAGTAACTATCGTGAGAGATACTAAAATTATAGAAAACAGCTACTCCTAAAAACTTACGTTATTTCTACTGAGAAAAGCTTACTACAAAATAATCTTAATAACTAATTTCTTTTTACTAACAGTTCATATGCCTTTGGAATTTGTAGTTGGTAAAAACGCTTGTCAACTAATACTCAACTAATATTACATTTTTTGAAATCTTTACTATTTGCAGGCTTTTCTCAAGAAACCTCTTTACTACTAGAAACATTGCGTAGTTATTGAGTTTATCATGTAAAGAGTTATGGACTGATTGACTGCACATCCCACAATATTTATTCATATATCTATACTCACCAACTTTTAACCTCTGCAAAGTCTCATTATAGGACAGTAAAGCTAAGCTCAGCATGAATGGTGTTTTCATTTTACTGGGGAACACGGTTCTCGTCCACTCAGGCAGTTTCAAGCCAGCCTCTTGTTCAGATAGCAGTGTACTGTACAAGAAGTCAACAGGCACCACACTACGCATGCTCTGATTTGTGTGTTTACTTAAATAATCAAACAATTCTGCAAACTTTGGATCACTATTCTTTTCAGCCACTTGCTCTTCGTACATGGCCTTCCATACTTTACAAGGCTTTGTTCCAGCAACTATCTGAAATATAAATGCTATATGAGTTTTAGTGTACCTTAAGGTTATTTTATTTATTTACACTTTTGCATATACATCTGTGTACAAGGTGGACGACTTAATGCCACAGGCATTCTCTCCCAGTCAAACCTTTGGGTAATGCAGAGATAACAGTACATGCAAGAAGCAAGCAAAATCGTGATATTACTGATAAATATATATTTTATACACTTACTAACATAAATACTACAAATGCTACAAAGTCTATAAATTAGGTGTTCAAGGTGTTATTGGGCCTATGTTCTCTCTACTCTAGTATTGATTTTATATTCACAAAAATGAATGCAACATACATTATCCAGTTCCTTGGGTAGTGAGTGCACAGGGACAGGCTGCCACGGCAGTTCAGGGTGCCACAGCTGTCTCTCAGTGGGTGGATACAGTCCAGCCAGGAATGTGTATGCACTCATTAAACAGCGGGATTTGTCACTACTGCGTACAAACACATCTTTGTCATAATATTCCTCTGGAATAAAGTTTGCATAGTAGCTTCTGTACTTTTTTCCCAGTTCATACAATTGCAACTTGCCAGCCTGAAAATGTGCAATTTTTGTTACAAGGATGTGTGGAGAAGGTGGTGAATGGTTTATGGTAGAGTATGAAGACAAGAGTTTTAGTAGTAGTTCATTTATTCTATAACCAGGGCCATTGGCCTAATTCTTTTATTTATAATATTCATTAAAACATTGGCTCCAATAAATAAATAATCCTATTTTTTTGAACATCAATCATCTATTGTTCTTAAGATAAAAAGAAAACAAAATCCATTGAAATTGATATCTGGTGCTCCTTTCCAATTTGAAACATCAAAGGGTCATTACATTATGTAGATAAAACTTGTTTTTTATTGAAATGGTGTGTTATCTTAACAAAACAAGCAATTATTTTACAAGAGCCATCAGTAAATATGGTTAGTAATATCATAGTGGTGGTGCAATTTGTTTTTATAGTTCATTCAGTTAAGGAAAGGATTATTTAAACTCCTAAACTGTTATACTTTGTAGTCTAAAGATAGGGAGAAAGAAGAGTGACCAAAGTAGTCAGAATATTGGTACTATTACCTTCAAATGAACTGAAAATAAAAACCATAATTGAAATAAATGGTAAAATAAACTATTTGATGTTGATTAAAGTGAAGTTAATTGTAATACTTTTTTTATTGATGAATAAAAACTTACATTGGTGAGTCCACCAAGTCCCTCTGGCCATTGATAGTTCTTGTATGGATCACTGTTATAACTTTCCACTGGAATTCTGGCACCATGTCGGAACAGCTTGAATGTGATGAAATAATTTGTTTATTATAACATATTTTTTTATATATAACATATAAAATATTACAATTACCAACAGTATTTCTACATATATAATATAAAATATATTCTTATAAAAGAAGAATAATTATATGAAAAAATAAATCGGATAGTTAAAAACAGACTTTTTAAATTTTTTAAGGAATGTACTGCAGTTTACTTACAATTACAACAAGCCGTAGAGTTTTCGACTCGTAGGGTAGCGTCTCGCTAAGCACACAGTACCCGAGCAAGCAGCTGAGCACTGCTAGACCAAGTACTACCACTGCAACAGATGTGGACCTCTTCGGGATTTGATGGCATGTAGACCGCTCCATTTTCGGCGTTGAATGACGACGCCAAGTGTTCTCATCATTATCATACTCCATTGGCACAGAATCACGAATGATTGAGTACATAAATCAATCAGGTCTTCCCACCCGAAAGACGACCGAACCTCGTGATGAGTGAAAAATAATGAACTGCGAACTACACAAATACGATGACCTTCTGATTCTTATCTCCAACAGAACATGTTTATGTAGGGTTTTTTTGTGTAGTAAAATCAGAGCAATTATTTTATTATAACTCTGAAATGTAAAAATATTGTAGTTTAAATGGTTTCAAAGAATTGAGATTTAATTTCGGCTACGTACTACGTAAAAGTTTTATAGAATAGTTGTTATTAATAGTATATTCTTTAAACTTTTTTAGAATAAATATATATGAAATATGAAAAAACATCCCATACACCCCTGTTGACTATTTGACAATTGACAATTTGACATTGATAGCTTGATTTGATCTTTTTTTTTTATATTATTCTTTCCTTGGGAACAGGCTAAGGTCCGAGACCATACCGCCTAGTCATTAGTTTTGTTTTTATTGAAGTTAATTTTACTCATCCATATTTTTTTTTTAATTAATTCATTTGTATTTGATCTTGATTGTAGAATGCACAGTAAACTAGTATGAAATGGAATGTCAACGATCAATTTTGCCATTGAGGTTGGATTCTGGGTGGATTCTGGTATTCTAGCATAGACTACATTATTATAATGTCAGAAAAGTAACTGTCAGGCAGGTCAATCAACTTTGTGAACATCATAAAGTTTTTTGAACTTTAATTGTGAAGAATATAATTTTGATTTTTATTTGTGTTATTAGTAGTAGTAGTTTAAAAGTTATAATTATAATTAGAAAACCATAAATAGATTGGAGTGAAAATTGAGGGCTAGTAAGTATTTCCTTTAAAATTATAAGAAAAAACGACCTGAGTTCCCAACGAGTCGTATCCGGCAAGTAGGCCAAATTTTTTAAACAATTTATACTGCAAATCTTATTGTAACTGTAAAATTATTGACACAATATATGATTTAAAATGAACATTAACTTTAAAAGTATTGTTTTCACAAAGAAAACAAAGTTTTTCTATTTTTTATAAATCATAAACCAGTCGATTGGTCACGAAATTCAATAAATTATGCCACTAAATATTGTTCTTACTTATCTTAAAACAACTTTTCTTTACTATGGAATATTTTGAGCTATCGCGAAATAATGAACTATAATATAATCAAATTATGTGAACAAAATAACTATGATTTACAATAACTGCATTACACACGAAAACAGTCTGTTAAAAAAGATACTGCTATGCTATGACATAGTAGTACAAATACAAATCAGCTAATAGAATCAGTTTAATCAAATTTCATACAAAAAATATACCTACACATCTTACCCAGATCTGGATCATACAAATAGTTGTGCAGGAATATTGAATCCGACACACAGAACACATAGCCATGCAATATGCATTTGACAAGTTAACTAGCACTTTTAACTACTTCACATTTCTTGTATATTAGATATTCTTTTTTTAAATTTGTTATTGATCTAGTCATATATTAATTTGTATTTTTTAAACAATTGCAGATTTTTTGAACACTTGTCTTTGAGTAAGATGCCTTTCTTCAGCGGAAAATGTCTGAGTACAGCCAGACTGGTTGGCAAGACTGCTATAATAACTGGCTGCAACACAGGTATAGGGAAGGAAACTGTCCTGGATTTTTATAAGAGAGGTGACTTTAAGTTTTTTATCACATTATTTTATATTTCTTACACATCATGCTTTGTCAGTATTTTAGTGTAATATATTGATAAAGGAGTTTCCGTCTGTCTTAGTGACTTGATACCAAATTATTTTAACATAATGTGACATAATCAGTTTATTTGCTTTAATCCTTTAAAGAGTATGCAGGAGTTGTATTTTTGCAATATAAATTAATTATGTTATTAGTACCATGAAATAGGGTAGAGCCTACTGGACATATTTTCAAACTGTATTTGAGATATTTTTAAATAACTGAAAAAGCTAATAATAAATCTATAACTAAGCTGAGCAAGGGCTCAGCAGTTGCACTGGCAACTTCTTGGAAGGTTTTACAACTAAGAAACATTAATTTTAAGGTGCCAAAGTAATAATGGCGTGTCGCAGCATGGACAAGGCGGAAAAGGCGAAATCTGACATTGAGGAGCGTTGCAAGGATTTAAAAGATACTGGCAACATTGTGCTAGCTAAATGCGACCTCGCCTCTTTGAAATCAGTAAGAGAATTTGCAGAGAATATCTTAAACACAGAACCACAGATTAATATTCTCGTCAATAATGCTGGTGTTATGATGTGTCCCAAAACTGAAACTGAAGATGGCTTTGAGATGCAATTTGGGACAAATCATTTGGCACATTTCTTGCTCACTATGCTCTTACTGCCTCGCATCAGGAACAGTAAGCCAGCTAGGATTGTTACTGTATCTTCTAGAGCTCATATAAGTAAGTTTCTACTTATTAATATATCCATTTAATTTTATCTACTTATTGAAAATGATATTTGGGATCAATCAATAAAAGTGTTGCCACTTTTTTAATTAAAACAAAACACAATTTCATGCTGTTTAACTCAGCATATGCATTTCAAAGTATAAAAAGAAATAAAGAATTTAACACATATAACTGTCAAAAGGCTATTATAACTTTATAACCTACATTGTTCTGTATTCGTTTCAGGATATGGCATCAACTTTGATGACTTGAACTACAAGAACCGCCGCTACAACGCGGCAGAAGCGTACTCGCAGAGTAAGCTCGCTAATGTTATGTTCTCTCGCGAATTAGCAGCTAAACTTAAGGTAAGTTACGATAATATGCTGCTTACTTGTTACTCAGCTGTATCTGGCTATAGCACCTAGTTTTAATGTACACCAACCCTTTGGGGAGTAAACGAGGATTAGTTAGTCCGAAAGATTAACGATGAGCAATATTCATTAGTACTTACACATTAAAGCGTGGGAGAGCCTAGCTCCGACCTGAAATAATCACAGCGTTGTATTTCGCCGAGTGAGTGAGGTCACCGGAGGCTCAATCCTCAATCCAAAATTTTATCTTCAAAAGGCCGGCAACGCACTCGTAATTCCTTTGGTGGTGCGGGTGTCCATGGGCGGCGCCGATTGCCCACCATTAGGTAGTCCGACGCCCAGTTTGCCGACTTATCTCATAAGAAAATTATTCAATTTTACTTACTAAATAATAAAGTCGAAAATGTTGAAAACGAGCTGCCGTCAGAATATAATCTGTCTTTCGAACGTATGTGTGAAGGTTCAGTAGCCAGGAAATCGTTCAAAGTTTACATTGCATTATTTTGTAAGAACGCGTGAAGTTAAGACATTTCTATGTTATTCACAAACCTCTTATTAATTTAACTTTTGGTTGTAGGAGCATAACATAGAAGGTGTGAACACATACAGCCTACATCCAGGCGTTATCCAGACGGAACTGGGCCGTCACCTCAACGAGACGATGTTCTGGGGCGCGCGTAAGATCATCGGCTTCATGTTGTACCCATTCATGAAGTCAGTGGAGCTTGGCGCGCAGACCACCATCTACTGCGCCGTAGACGAGAAGTGTGCTAACGAGACCGGCTTGTATTACGCGTAAGTTTTCTTTTAAATCATCAATACTAACATTATAAAGCTGGAAAGTTTGTTTGTTTCTTTGTACTCTAATCTCCAGAACTACTAGTTCGAATTGAATAATTCTTTTTGAGTTTGTTAGTTCATTTATCGAGGAAGGCTTTAGGCTGTAAAACATCACGCTACGATTTGTAAGAGCCGAGCAGCGAGTGAAACCGCGCGACGGAAGCTAGCTTAATAATAAACTTAGAGCCATGTATCCATTACCCGTGCTGCCCCTGTATCAAGGAATAATAGATTGGTAAATAAAGTATACAGGGTGTGGTAAATATTGATCCATAATAAAATACTATTTCATTTGACTCACCAGCACCTTAATACTCTTAGTTTGTACGATGACGACGACTTTAAATTACGACGCACTGTATACGGAAAGGTTTGAAAATCTACTAAGCAGTGTTAAGAGGTACAGCTAATACTCTGATGCTAACAAAAATTTTGATAACTATAATAAATAAAATATTATATACTAGCTTTTGCCCGCGTCTTTGTTCGCTTGGAATGGTGACTTCTATCAATGAAATTATCCTATGTCCTTTCTTGAGTTCCAAACTATGTCTTTAACAAATTTGGCGTGAAGAAAAGGCAGATAGACAGACCGACAGACTGACAGACAAAATTACCTACTTTCGCATTTATAATATTAGTTTAGATAGTTAACTATTTTGTCTGGTTTTGTGCTGCAAACAAGCATATTATTATGTGTTATTTTAGGCTATAAACAATGGGTCAGTAGTTATTACGGCACATAAATTTCGTCATTTTATAATATAAGTAGGTTCATGTGAAGCCTACAAGAATTAATTTCACTGTCAGGTTTAAAAATATGTAAGAAGACTTTGGGATAGAAATATAATAATGATCTCAGCAGTTTAAGTTAAATCAGACACGTTGTATTCAAAAATAAAACTTTTTTTCAGAGATTGTGTGCAAACAAATGCGTCGCCGAAAGCTCAAAAAGACGAAAACTGCAAGAAGCTATGGGACATGTCAGTCGAACTGGTGAAGCTAGGAGACTACAATCCTTTCACAGCACCCGATCCCGGTGTAAAGAACAATTAAACCTTCTAGAACATTCTATATCTTCATGGGGGCTGCGTGACGGCAATTATTAAAGTGATTGGTGGAATGTTGCTATAAGTATTATATAGCTTCGTTTCGCTCTTTCACCGATCATTTTAGGTATTAAGAGCACAAAACAAACATTGGAGATTATTTACTATTTTTTTAGGTGCAATAAATCTACATATTAATATTTTATACGTATTTATTAGATATAAGAGATCAAACCGTCCATTCATCACAAAGTTTTTAATTTATTATAACTTTTTTTTACACTATGTAAGTTCTTATGATGAACTGTTTGCTTATAGCCAGTTACAAAAATCTATTTTGGTTACTAGAGACAAAAACATGGCTATAATAATAATAAATAAGTACATATTTAAGGTGACCTTGACCTCCGAAACAATATGGGAATGTGACTTGAGGTCAGTCTTGACAATAGACAATATAAATACATTTATAACACATGATACAAATTATTTCTATAAATATGAGGATAGCCCTCTGGTTGCCTCTCTAGGAACGGTATTTGGGGGTTAGGGGTTTATCAATAAGTTTTCTCGCCCATTAGGGAGAGGGAATGTCAGACTGGGAGAGGGAATTTCAGACTGGGTGAGAGGAGTTCCCTCCTCCTTCTTTGCCAGCATGGCGGCTTTCCAGTTCCTCTCTTTCCGCACCATGGCCTCAACTAAGAGTCGTGAGAGGTTTTCGCCGATCACGTCAGGCATAAAGCCTTAACCTTGTCTGGCATTACATTTTAGACTTTTACACATCGGTCACTAAATTAGTGATCGATGCTTTTACAGTAAAAATTAAAGTTAACACTTCAGTGACAGTTGGATTAGGTTATTGTCGACTTTTGACGTCATTGTTAAAGTTTAATACTCAATGCATATATATGATTTATGAATGTTCTTTTTTTAATTTTTATTTTTTTATTTTTTTTTGGTCATTGTGCAATCAAAGTGTTTAATGTGTAGATACCTACAATATTTGACTGTTGTTTTTAAATTCATTTTAATTTTATAATAACACGAAATGCTCAAACTTTTTGTACATTGTAAGGAGAGTTGTTGTGTAAATTAATGTATATTTATTTATTTAAAAAAATAATAAAATTAAAAAATATAGTACGGATTGTTTCTGTTTGCAAGTTTTGTTAATTATTTACACGTTGTGGTCAGCCGAAACAAATACTGAAATACCTGAAAAGATACATTGAAGTATAATAACGGCACCAGTGTTACAGTTCTTGTCGAACACTGTTGCCTGGACAGGCATTTTTATCGATCAAAAAAGAACATGCAACATATTCTATTTTTGCTACTCTATATCTTCAAGGACGTTTTAGTTTTATTCAGAGAATTTAAAAAAGAACCGACACTTTAAAATATGCCTATCAAACAAGTTCGACTAGTTTTCTCAAAATCAACTAGTTTTCTAAAAAAAGGAATCGAAATCGATAACCTTCTCTTTACAACATTGTTGTTTAATTTTTTTTTATTAGGATATTAAAATTTTTTTTTCTTCTTTTATAAAAGTGTTATATCTTTCCTAATTCTATTTGGTACACCGCTCCTTTCTGTTATGTACTACTACCAGTAATATGAAATAAAAAGAAGCGTTTGAAAAGAGGTTTATTTCAATGTGGGAGAGCTATAAAAATACCAATAGGTACATATATTCATTGCGATTTGTAGCAATAAAAAATGCTTTTAATTTATATATCTAAAAAACTGTCTTAGGTATAATAGGTTCTCCTACAGATAGGTACGTAGATACGTATTTCTTTAATGACTTTTGTGTAGGGGTTACGTAAGAATGTAGGTGTCATGGTTAAGAAGGCCATTAGTATATCACACATTAGCTATTCGTGTTATAAAAACAAGTGTCTCCAAGCTTCAAGAGTAAGAAATCAGTATTCACGAGAATGTGTCTACCGAACACAGTCGTCGCATTGTAACCTAGCCAGTTAATTCTAGTCACAGTAACTACAGAATGGATTACATTAGTGGTTGGTGTAATAGTAAGAGGAGGCTGGAAGGGTCTACTGTCGTAGTGACCGGGGGCAACGCCGGAATAGGCAGGGAGACCGTTTTAGATTTATATAAACGAGGTAAGTTTATTTATCATAATAATACAAAAAAACATAACAAAAAAAACCGACTTCAAAAGTAAACTAAAAAGCAAAAAATAAATTTACTTTGTTCAAGTAATACACACTTTCATTGAGTTAAATAGAAAATAATATTAAGTAACTATTTTAAAATTTTGAAGTCGGTGCCAAGTAAAACTACCTCTTGCTAATTTGATGATTAGTAGCTAGGTACCGATCAACATATTTTTCTAATATTGTTGTTGTTTGGTATGTAGCATTTACTTGGCCTTCATTATACATAATCCATATAGGCGCAAAGTTCTCATCAATATAAATGAATTAAGTCCAAACACGAGGTAGTTACTGTAAACCGTTCAGGAGTTCCCTGAGCTGTCCATCGTTCTCAACATCAGACCCTTAATGACAGTCACGACCAATCCTGGTGCAAAGGGCTCACCAATACGAATCATTCAAGCCTAAACACAAGGCAACTACTCCAAATAATCAAGGAGATCCCTCGACTGCCTCCCGGCTCCATCATCATAATTTACTGCATAACTTCATTGTAATCAATAGAGGTGCAAAGTTTTCATAATAAAATAAATGAATGAAGTCCAAACACGAGGTAGTTACTGTAAACCGTTCAGGAGTTCCCTGAGCTGTCCATCGTTCTCATCATCAGACCCTTAATGACAGTCATGACCACGATCTTGGTGCAAAGTACTCACTAATACGAATCATTCAAGCCCAAACACAAGGCAACTACTCCAAAAAGTCAAGGAGATCCCTCGACTGTCTTCCGGCTCCATCATCAGGTCGGGTTCGAACATCGGTAAGTTGTAAATTTGTTAAAAGCCTACTAAAACCATATGCAAAAACACCACTCGCCCCTACAATTTTTGAAAGTTCCTCTCGATTTCTCTGGTCTTCCGTCATCAGATCCTGATTTCCTTATCATGGGACCATTCTGGGACTATCTCCAATCCAATAAAAAAAGAATTATCAAAATCGGTTCATAAATAACGGAGATATCGGCGAACAAACATAAAAAAGCATATATACGGTCGAATTGAGAACCTCCTCCTTTTTTTGGAAGTCGGTTAAAAAAGTATTTATTCGCGTCTAAAAAGAATCAATTCTCTACACCTAAAATGAATGATGATAATTGTTAAATTAAATACTTAGGTAATTGTCTGAAAATATCAATGACGAAATATGTATGTAGATATTATTATTTCTATGTGTTTTGTATAAGATTACGTACAAAGTGTGAATTCATATTTTTTTGAGAAGTTGTAATAGGTACTCAGTCATGTATAATATTATACCTAAGCTTTTATAATAGGTAGGTAAGTAACTATTTATTTTTCTTAAATTATTCAGCGAACTTCGATTTCTTAGTAGAAACCATTTATTAGGGTTCTGTTTTATTCTTGTAGATAGGTTTAATTAGTAAATGGTTATATTCTGAGGTTTTGAAATATTCGAAAGTATTAGAAATATTCTTCTAAATTTAGAAAAATAGTACCTAACTGGTGTATCCACACATACATTGAAAACAATAACAAAATAATTTGAATTGAATTGACAATAACAAAATGGTTTTTGGTGTGTTTTAAAAAATATATTGGGGTTTCTTAGGTATTCATTTAATTAAAGTTAGTAAATTTGCGCTGAATTCTAAAATAAGGGAATAAATAAGTAGGTACCTACGTACTTTTATTATTATCAGCCATAGTCGTCTCACTGAAGGGCAAGGGCCTCCGTACTCTTCTTCCACTCTTCACCGCACAAAGTTTCTGCTGCCAACCAAGTCGGTACCTACCTAATTTATTAGATATTTTTTAAATTATTTTACTAGCTGCTATGCGAGCGGTGCTGAGGCATTAGGATTTGGGCGCTTTTTAGGGTTCCGTAGTCAACTAGGATCCTTTATAATGTCGCCACGTCTGCCTGTCTGTCCGCCCGCGGATCAAAACGCCAATAAAGTGGTACCTAACCAAAAGTGGATAAAATAATTTATTAGGGTATCCCCCCTACTCGTAAAGTAACTAACTTACTTAACTCTTGAAATTATGGAAAAAATAGTATTAGTATTTGAAAGATCAAATATTCGGTACGTAAGGAGATACCTATTATTTTCCAAATTGTTGTTGTTATTTTTATAGGAGGTCGCATCATAATGGCTTGCCGGAATTTGGAGAAGGCTAAAGAGGCTCAAAAAGACATAGAGGAGCAGTGCAAGGGACAGGAAGGCACGGGCTCCCTCGTGGTGGAGCACCTCGACCTGTGCCGGCTGGAGAGTGTGCGCGAGTTCGCGCGTCGCGTGTCGGGGCGCGAGCGCAGCCTGCGCGCGCTGCTGTGCAACGCGGGCGTCATGATGTGTCCGCTGGCGCGCACGGAGGACGGCTTCGAGACACACATCGGATCCAACCACCTCGCGCATGCGCTGCTCGCGCTGCTACTGCTGCCGCTTCTCATTCGGGGGACACCTTCCAGGATCATCTTCGTTTCGTCCATCATCCATGAATGTAAATATGTAAACTTAGGTAGCATCAAAAGAGACCTACGGGTCCTACACCCTACAGGAATAAGTACAAGTTGTTTTAATGTTGGTTTTCTTACCTACTATTTCAGTCTTCTGGATGGATATGGACGACATCAACTTTATGAAGACACCGTACACACCATTGCGAGCGTATGTCAACAGTAAAATAGCTAACATTCTGTTTGGAAAGGCTTTAGATCTGAAACTAAAGGTGAGTACGAGCGATACTGAAAGTCAAAAGATAGGTTTTGTGCTGAAAGCTGTACCTAAAGCACATGTTACGGTGCACCCAGGCCAGGTAGCTAATCTAAGGCCTGAACGCCAGAGTGATCCTCGCGTAAAAATATGTTGAAAGACACGATAGTGCCAATAACAAACAGGTAAGATTATGCAACGTTACCTACGTGTACAAACTGTAAAGTGCGCAGCTGTGGTAATGTCTATTAATGACTACCTAGTTAATTTATAGATATATTGGCACCAAGTGCATTTTATTAGTATTCTACTAACGTGAGATGCCGTCGATGTAATGAAGGGCTATCTGCATCATGAACTGACCTAGTAAACTATCTATAAAATAGTAAATATCTATATATCTACCTGCGAAGTGCGAAGAAGGCGATGTGAGCCACAGGGTGAGCTGCTGGATGAAGGTCCTACCAGCTACTGGGAGCCTGGTGGTCAGTTGTGGTTGATATGCTAATCACAAATGTTTCTCATTTTCAGGAGCATAATATAAAAGGCGTATCAACGTACAGCTTACATCCTGGCGTTGTGAAGACGGGTATAGCACGATATTTCCCAGAGGCAGGCTGGTGCGCGTCCATCATAAACTATCTGTTCCACCACTATCTACTGAGCTGGTGCTGGAAAACTGCGAAGTGTGGTGCGCAGACTAACATCTACTGCGTCGTCGATGAAAGATGCGAGGATGAGAGCGGCTTGTATTACAGGTTTGTCAAACAAATTCCGGAATCCGGGAATCCTCATTCCTGGTATTTCTTATTCTAAATATTAAAAACCATGTTTCCACACGAATAGGTATATAATATACCGAATAAGAACAACGCTAACCTTGTGTTTGCCCGTATGGGTTAGGTTGTCGGAAGTACAAGTAAAATCTTCAACCCCTAAAGCTGCAATCCTCAAATCCCTTACAACGCACAAATGCACTGCACATGTGTGGTGAGTGCTTACCATCAGGCCATTCGTCTTCGTTTTGCCGAAAAAAAATTCTATGATTGAGTACCTAATCTAACACTATGGCTAAAACGCTTGCATTGTTTTTTGTCTAATGCGTGGTTCAATTTATCGGAGGTTCAAAACTAAATATTTTGGTCTCTCTGGCAACACCGAGATTAAAACCCTATCTACAAATTATATTATTTGTATAATGATATTTCTGTTTTAGCGACTGTGCGGTGACTACGCCTTCCAAGCAATGCCGCAGTCACAGCGAAGCTGAGAAACTCTGGGACATCACTATCGACATGCTTAACTTACATGACTATGATCCCTTCGGAAATGTGTCGATTTAAAAGTACCTATTGTTATTGCGTCTTTAGTAGGTACATACTGCAATCAGGTGTTAGGTAAAAATAAGAAGGTAGGCCAATAAAAAAGAAGGCTTCGTGTGTACCTATGTATGTATACATATTTGTACAGAACATTTAAAAGTTAAAATCTTTATTTAGATAATTGTTATATATGTTTAGGCATTAGGTACCTACTGTTTATCATATGTAGATGTACTTACTGTTCATCATGTGTACCTACTTATATTTATTTTGTATCGTTTTTTTATTGTTAACTTTGAACATGTTAGTAAATTAAGTAAGCTCTTCTGTTTACTTTGTTTTTTGACTGTACCTACTGTGTTCTGTGTTTTTCATTGATTTTCCTGTCGAAGGTCTGCAGGAAAAAATCTTTTAGGAATTTGCAATAGGTTTTTTTTAATGTAATAAATCTCATCTTACCTGATGGTAAGCAATCAACGCCGCCCATAGACTCCCGCAACGGAGTAGTTACGAGTATCGGGTATCTTTATAGGTACCTCTTATTAATATGAACTTGGTGGTAAGATTCGTAATAATAATAGTTCAGACGTAAATTACATTATAGGTACCTACTTATCATATGTACCTAGGTATACTTATTTGGACCTATCCGGGTAAAGAGCGCGCATTGATACACACAGGTGCGATGGAAGTTTTTATTTGTACGGGACTATTTGATTCCATCACTTTCCCATTCAATTAGAATTAATTTACGTAAAAGGTGAACGCAAAGAAGAAGGCGGGGCGCATGAGGAAATGCAATGCTCCTCGCGACGCCGCAGTAGGAGATACATCGGGGATCGAGCGACGATCGTTTCCGGCCACCGTAAGACGGCAGACGCGCAATTCGGCGGACGTTGAGCAAGGGAGCTTGCCAACCAGTACTAGACCCGAACGTATGGCCCGTACTGTTCCGCGCACGCCTCAAAGTGCCATTAGACCACCGTATTATGTTATATGGATCCCAACAGGGCCGATATTCGGCTGGGCTTGTAGGGCAAGTGGAATTACCTAGATGCACGGCCTGGAACAGGAAAAGAACGGCATAGTTTAAAAGTCAGTAAGAGTAATAGATAGTCCCTCTCGCCTCACCCTAGACGAGAGATTCATATAAGGGGGGGAATATCCCCCTTAAAAAAAAACAGCTACCTACTCCAATATAGGCACATACTTACATTGAAAAGGTTTGAGATAACAATAAAGTGATTTTGTAAACATATTTTCAATGGGATCCACAGCGCCCATACCATACCGCTAGGAATAGAGAATATAATACTTACGGTAGATTCCAACTAGTCAAATTCAATACTTTTATCCAAATGTCAAAAACGATACTTTTCTATGGATTTTTTATGAAAAACGACGTTAAAGTATTTTTGCGTAAATAGCTTACTCATTTCTTAATAACTAGCTAAACATATCTAAAACTTAGTGTATCGATCGATCGATGAATAAAATTATAGTTATTTTTGAATATTTTATTGTATTCTTCAACTTATAACTTCCCAATTGGATGAAATTATTTAAAAAATTAGGTGGCAGAGGATAAGCTTCACTTGCCACTTCTCATACCTACATGCAATGAGACTTTTTCCAAGTTATGTGGAAATTCTAAGACTATTTAGACACCACTGACAAACGGTGAAGGAAAACATTGTGAGGAAATTTGGTCTTTTAAATTCAAATTAGATGTAAGTTTGAAATCGACAATCCGTCTGTCTTGAGCAAGCGTGGTTATTAATGCGCAAACTGTGTCAGCTGTTGGCATTCACAAGCTGATGATGTGATGATGACGTGAGTAAACAATAAAACATACAAGGAAACTTGAACAACTACTTAGTAATACTTAACAACAACATTAGTTAAAAACAAATAATGAAATATAATATAATGATATATAATATGAAATAATCCTGTACGAGGGATTGCTTGTAATTTAATTAAGGACAATGCTATGAATCGCTACCGAATTATCGATCGACAGAGCTGTCTGGTCGGGTCTGGCGTTTGTTACAAAAATGCCGGTCGGACCTTCGCGCCGCGACCTTGTTGTTCGATCAAACAATTTGGTGGGGACATATATTTTGCAATAATTCAGAGATTATTCACACAGAGTCGACAGACTAAATACGTAAATTTACAAAGCTCGACAGTGCGTTCATTTTTAATTATTTTATTTTAACTGTGACGTTAATGTTGTGTGTTTTTTTTTGTTTTCCGATTGTTTTATCTCCTACTCATCGAGTTGCGTACGAGCAGTATTGTATGGACCACAGAGAGAGCTGTTTGTGTTTGTGTCGTAAAGTGATACCTGCCTAAGTTGATTAATACGGTGATGAGGCAAATATATTAATCTTGTACCTATATTTGTGTGTCGAACGAATATAAAGTAAACATTCGTAATCAATAGGTATTAAATGCACCTGTAGGATAAAGAATTTGAAATTTATAAATTAAAACGAGTAATATTAATAGTAATCATGGATTACCTAAGTGGTTGGTGTAAAAGTCAGCAACGGTTGGATGGCTGCACGGTCATCGTGACTGGCAGCAACACTGGTATTGGCAAAGAAGCTGTTTTGGATTTCTACAAGAGGGGTGAGTAGATACTTAAAGATGCATAGATAGATCATCCACCCCTAAGGTTGAATATCTTCTGTAGCAAATATGCACATATAGGTACCTACTTATCTGAGAGTAGGCAGGCAGGGTACAAACAGTAAAAAATACCTCTTTTATGTTCAATTCAAATGCTTGCATAAGTATGCAAGGATTACCACCGGAACACCTCGATTAGCTAAGTAGCTTGTAGCTAAACGAGATGTTCCGGTGGTAGCTTCATCTACGTCTAGTTACGATGTTTGCTTGGTAAATACCATTTTACTAGGAAACGTTGAAGGTACCTAATTAAAACCGGCTCAAGCCTGCTTAATTCCTAATCGTAACAATGTGGATGAGTGCTGCACATTATCTACCTTTTTAATATAAAATTAAAAGGACCCGTGAAAGAATGCTTATTCCGTAGCCTTATTCTGGAGTGACCGTGCACTAACTCTTGGGGTTTGGGGTAGATAGGTATCTGAAAAACACTAAAATCCGCGTTTAGGCTAACGTAGTGTAAGACACTCGCTCCACGAATTGGATGCTAAGAACTATAGATCCAGCCACAACTGGTGTGCTAAATGACAACTTAGTAGTAACTAATAATTAAACATTAGGTAGGTAGATTTTAAATCTTAGTACCTAGGTACCTAATATAAATTGTCGTTAAGTACACATTGAGTTGTTATTTTTATAGGAGGTCACATCATAATGGCTTGCCGGAATTTGGACAAGGCAAAGGTGGCTAAAGAAGACATAGAGGAGCAGTGCAAGGGACAGGAAGGCACGGGCTCCCTCGTGGTGGAGCACCTCGACCTGTGCCGGCTGGAAAGTGTGCGCGAGTTCGCGCGGCGCGTGTCGGCGCGCGAGCGCAGCCTGCGCGCGCTGCTGTGCAACGCGGGCGTCATGATGTGCCCGCTGGCGCGCACGGAGGACGGCTTCGAGACACACATCGGATCCAACCACCTCGCGCATGCGCTGCTCGCGCTGCTACTGCTGCCGCTTCTCATTCGGGAAAAGCACTCTAGGGTTGTCTTTGTTTCATCATACGTACATGCAAGTACGTTATCGCCAATTAATATAATTATTGCTGTTCCACCTCCGTTTCGATACAATCTAAGCTGATTCATTCAATCTTATGGTTGCAGAACACAAATTAGACTTGGATGATTTGAATTTTGAGAAGAAACCCTACAATGCCTTCGAAGCCTACTGCAGAAGTAAATCTGCGAATATTTTATTTTCCAGAGCTCTTGCTGATAAATTAAAGGTACATAAGTAGATATTTTACTTGACTTAGTAGGTATAAGTAGGTAAGTAATATTGAGTTGGAGGATAAAACCATGTGGTCCTATCACATGGTTGCCGTAGTAGCTACACTAAAAATAATTGTGAGACCATTGTTTTATATCTCACGTGTGTGTCTTTCAAACGTTCTAATTGATTCCTTTTCAATAATACCTGCCTACTCATAATGTGTACAATGCATATCCTTTTAATGCAGTCTATCATAAATCATTGAGAGTAATGTCCGGCCGACCTACAGACTATTTCGAAAGCGATAATCTAAAATAGGTTTACTTAAATGAGCGTCTAAGTAGACAGTAGATACATAGCACAATGGAAAGTCACCTTTATGAGTCACCATTGTGCATTCCGTGTGAATAAAGATCTACCTACTTACCTATATGCGATTTTTATACAATACTCTAGAAAATCCTGTAAACCACAAAGCTTTCTGATATCGACATCAATCAGTCTGTGCCAATAATGCGCTGTTCTGGATAAAGCGCCGGATACTCCGTGGTGGGCACCATCCAACCAGAGTCAATTGGCAACGCAAAGTGACTGATCGGATAACAATAGAACACAGAGTGGAGGAAATCGGTTTTCGTAAGGCACAAAATCTTCTAACGCGGTCTTTTCGAAGACTTTTGAAGGAGTTCAAAATAAATATGCTTTGTTTATTATAACAGGAACACAACATAGAAAATGTGACGACGTATAGTTTGCACCCTGGCGTCATTCGCACAGAGATCAGTCGGCACTTCGATGAGACCGTTTGGTACGGCGCGTCATGGCTGTTCAATAATGTGCTCGGTCTCTTCTTGAAGTCACCGCAATGTGGTGCTCAGACCTCCATATACTGCGCTATAGATGAATCCTGTGCTGATGAAAGTGGGCGTTACTACAGGTACGTATTTAAAAAGTTGGTGGGTAGTTAGATGACCTTATCGTATTTATCTGTCTACTTGAAGTCTCTGTGGATTGTCAGCACTGTCCTCTTGAAGGAATTTAAGTGTAAGGTTTTCTATGGATCGTAAGTACCTACCTACCAATAAACCCTAAATATAAATAATTAAGATGTCACCGTAGGGACAATGTCTTCCCGAGCGTACGGCGCGTAGGTAGCGTTCTGCGCGCGCCCCAAAGAGCCAATAGACCACCACAGACGGGGCCCAATAGGGCTGATGTTCAACCGGGGCTGCGGGGTAAGCGCAATGAGGCACCGCGGCCTCTGCCCAGAGCAGGAGAAGAGACGGGGGTTTTTTAGTCACTAAGAGTCTGACACTCTCTCTCGCCTTGCCCTGAGCGGGAGAAGTATCATTGGGTGATTTTCCCCTGAAAAAAAAAGGGACAATGTCTTTTATTTTGCAATCTAATTATTGACAGAATAAACTTTGAGAAAGAATGATAAAAGTTCATTCACCCAACTAGATAAGTAAGTTAATATAAATACCTAGGTGCCTAATCACATATGTAGGTAGGTACCTACTTATAGGTTATACAGATAGAAATATAACTAAGTACCTAATCAAGTTATAATATGAATTATTTTATCTATATCTACCTGACTTGATACTAGTACAATAAGCTACCTAATTTTTTTATGTGATAGGTCGGCAAACAATCATTCCTGTCGATGGTAAGCATTCGGCGCCGCCCACGCCCAGGTACTTAACAGTAAAGCATCTACTTTCTACTAGAAGTGCGCTGCCAGCCTTTTGGGATCGAGGATGGATGGAGAGAAGGACTAGGCCTCCGGTAACCTCCCTTACGGCGAAAAGCAACTGCTGCTAAAGTGTTTTGCTCGCTCGCTTTATGCCGGTTTCCTGTGAGGCCTTGGTATCACTCCGGTCGAGCCGGACCATTCGAGCCGAAACGTGGCTCTCGCACACTCAAATTTTACATTTAAGTGGTACCTAATTCGCTAACAACGCACCACTAATAAATTAGGAATTAAGACGTTTGGTTCGGTAAATGTACCTACCCACGTTAATCATTGCGTAAAATAGGAACCTATTTCGACTTACCTATTTCATCAAATACAAACGTCACGTCTTGCCTGTACCTCTACTTATTTGAATAAACTTTTTTTCAAATAGGTTGAGGTACTTAGGTACAAAAATCTTTTCCCACGCAAGAGAACATGATTTTATTTTTAATATGTAGGTACTTATTTTTGTGCGGAATTTATTTGCTATAACATTTTTACCGTCTGTTTCAGCGATTGTGCGGTGACTCAGCCGTCGAAGCAGTGTCAAGATGAAGCTCAAGCTGCTAAACTATGGGACCTTACAATTGAGGCTCTTAAACTGGACCTGGATAAATTCAATCCTTTTGATCCTAATTCTCATATTAATTGAAGTACCCAATAGTATTAAGTACCTACATGAATGAATAAGAGACTGGCAAGTTGCATCTGGCGAGTTTGATTAGAGTAGGTACGTAAGTCCTCATTTACAGAGTGGCTGGCGGTGCGTTGCGTGCTTGTCGTACCTACATTATAGCAGGAGGTCGCGTCATTGTCCGCGAAAACACTAACATGCGAGCAATGTACCACGACGACGACGAACGCACGAAGACATCTCATCTCGCACGCGTCACGCCCCATCTCCGTAGACGACGCCTATATGAATTAGACGGGATTTGTGTAGTAGGTACCTACTCAGTCTAGTTCAAGATACGTTCAAATAAGTCTAATCAGCGGAATTCTCTAATGTTGTAAAATAATAGGTAATAAATGAATTAAAACCTATTTAGTGTCTGTTCTCTTTTTTTCTAAGCTTGTGTGATGTGTAATTTTGTAGTAGAGACACCTACAATATTTTTTCATTAGGTACTTACACCAAGGCAAGGCAAGATATACCAACCTACTGTAGTGTGGCAGGCTCGTACTGACTAAACCCCCATTCCATCTCCTGCTCCAAGCCGGGGCCGCAGTACCTTATTGTCCCTGCGCAACCCAGGAATCGGGATGAATCACTAAGTATACCTACCGATACAATATTATATACCTGCATAGCTAGATTAGCTGGGTATTAATTTTTGATTGGATTATCTAGACTTTGCAACTTGCATGGCTTCAGATTTGAAGGTACCTACTCAGTGTACCTATAGCTAAGTAAATTGTTTAGGTTGTTCGGTCGGCTTGTTATTAAGTTTTCATATCATATTAGGAAGGAGGGGATTAAACACCTAACATGGACAGAGCAGAAGACTCATAAAACAGGCTCCACTCTTGACCAGTCCATAACAATGACCATATTGTTATGACAGGCTGACGACGAAGATAAGTACTTAGGTAAACACCGCTCACAGAATGGTACAATGTTTACCTAATCGTAACGTCCAAGTTATTTCGAACAAGGCTACACGCTCAAGGTAGCAGCAATTTGATCATATGTTTAAATTACCTACGTTTAACACGATCTGTAAAACTATGTGCCTATGACTAGGGGATTTATAATTTCTATGACTGCAATACTTTCCGATATGATCTTTGTTACGCAACGTCCATCGGTAAATTAGTGGAGGAACATCCAATTATAGCTCCAATCACGTTTGCTCCTAAAAACTACTCTTTACCTTCTTCAGCTCCAGGTTGGGGCCGTGGTACATTAATCCCCAGCTGGAGGTCGGCCCTGTTAACCTTTCCAACAACAAATTGCGATTAGTAAATGTTACGTTTGTTCCAAGTAGAGCAGTTCCATTCAGTCGGTCGGCACGTTAATTTTGTCAGAAGTTGAAACGTTTCGCAAAATAATAGTCAGTTGTTTGTTTCATTGCATTTATTTCTTTAAGAATAACTTGCGCAGATAGGTGGGTACCTATATTAATTAACTCGGCCATTATATGTATAACACAGATCAATATACTGTTATGTATTTGGGTATAGCTACAGATAAAATACTGTAAAATCATATTTAAATGGGCAATGCACTACAAGCACCGACTGAACTATTGCACGCAGTATTGTTGCTAAAACAAGTATCATAATACGCCTTTCGTCTAATAATATATAAATGCTTCCAAATGTATAAATCAACATTGTCTACTTAAAAATAACGTTTACAATAAATAAAGTATAATCGCACTTACAGATTTACCCCTAATCCTCGCAGATATATCCTCACAACAAATATATACAGGCAGAGGTGGAATATTTTACAATTATAATTTTCATTTTAAGATCCCATTGTTAGAAAGATGCAAACCATTCTGCACGCTCCAGCAGATTTAGCTATGAAAAATATTATAAAAAATTATTGGCATTGAATTAAAATATTTAAAAACAGCATAGCAATGTATTCAAAACACGTATTTCCATTATTGCTCTTCTACATTGTATATACATATGTACAAAATACAGTTCACGTCGACATAAGAAAACAATAAAAAGATTCATGTTTGTCATTATTGTGCTCAAATTGTTTACTGTGTATCTGTACATGCGTATTCCCAAGAAATATACATTTTTTAAACAATATAATAACAATTTGATTTAACATAAACAATACCTCTGAAACAAATAAATATCTGTACAAGATAAAACAATTTGACTAGGAGTATAAAAACTTTCTCAAAACTTCATAAGAGGCATTAATGATGCCCCAACTTAGAAACGCGCGAGAGATGTTAAGTAAAGCTCCATGGTAAAAGTTGGCGAATTTCGAACCTCGTTTGCGCAAAATATAATTGAACTCATATATTAATGTCCTGTGGGGACCACCAAGTTCACACTGCATTGCGATTTTAATAACATTCAAAGGGTAGTAGAGTGTACTGAGCAGAGCACCAATTGACGCTCCAGCCAAGAAATTTTGTAGGCCTTGGTAGAGTGCTTTTTCTTGTTTGGGGAGCCTGTCTTGCACTTCATCACGAATTATGAAAAACATTGCATTGGAGGGACCATTTCTAAGTAATATGGGTACCAATCCTCTGTAGAATTCCTTAATGCCATAGTGCTTAGCAATGTGAGTTGCTGCATCAGCAGTATTCTTGAACTCATTGTGGTACTTTGGATGTATCAGCAGTGTTTGTATCCTCTCAAATGGCATGAGGGTTGCTTCAAAGCAGCCTGCAACCAAGCCGGCGCATGATTTTGCAATGTATGAGTTGACTTTGTACTCTAACATTGGTTGTAGGCATTCATCATACACTCCAAACATTAGAGACATTGAAAGTGACCTTTGCAGCAAAGGAGGTAGCATTCCTCGGTAAAGAAAAGACAAGCCTTCTTTCCGTAACTGGGTAAAGGCAAACTGTGTTTCAACTCCATGCATCATCTGTAACAGTTATCAAAATATTATTAGGATTACTCTATACCTGATCATAAAGAGGTACACCATACCGGACTAGACCCGGTACAACAAGTTGTGGATCACACATAGTAGTTCCACCCGGGAATCAATTTTGCGATATATTGCATGGCAGCCAATAGCCCAGTCAAAGTGTTAACAGTGAAGTTAATTGCATTTTATCATCATTTGTAAAAAATATGTACCAAGTCATAAGATTTTATATATTTTATTTTATTAAATTTGAGCTTCTACAATTTATATTTCATGAGTACCTTACTCATCACTCTTGACATTTTAATGAAATTATAGCATGCCCCATTCTCTCAGACAGAAATTGGCAAAAACTAATTTACATATACAAGGTCAATGTTGTTCAAGTAACTTGAATATATTATTGTTTAATTTGAATATGTTGATATTACATCTAGTTTTAATGTTGATAAGTTTTAATCTGACTAATTGCAAATGCCATATACCAAGATCACAGTGTTCTTCTATAACTGCTAAAAAAACTATGCAAACATGAATAGTGTGTAATAAGAGCCTTATCACTGTTATGATAAGACCTGCCCCCAGAGGTTTTAATTATTGTTATCACTTATCTTAACCTACATTATGCATTGTTGTATAGGCTTTAATAATTTGAAACTCAAGGTTATGTCATGCCAATTTCTTGTATCTCTACAACCTCTTTCAATAATAAATGAAGAGCACATTTTGGTCTCACAAATGTAGCATTGTGTCCTTGCTAGGTACATTCATGTTGACAAAAGTGTTATGTCAATATAATGTGAACGGTAAAGTAGACAATTTTACCTGTCTAAATATGAGTTTATTTAGAGGATAACTTATGAGTATGTTGCAGAATGCTGACCCCCCTCCACACACGAACTCCTTCCAGTGCTGAGGCAGCCTCGCGCGCACGTTTGGTACGGGCACGGCGCTGTCTCTTAGCGCCCGGTCTAGGAGATGTCGCTCAGACATTTCCTTTTCCTTGCTTTCACATGACATTATTTTTTGTCTTCCATTGTCTGAAAACAACACAGAGTTTATCAATATACAAAGTTATGATATACAAAGTTTATCAATGAAGCAAATATCAGTACTAGACGATCGAATCTATTGATAAAGATGACTGTAATATTTACGTCGAGTGTATCATACACAAAATCAGTGCACCCACCTCAAAGTTTATGACAACAAATCATGATTTAAGCAATTAGATTACATAACGATTGAATAGTTTACCTTTCACGAACTACAATTAATAAATAAATTATATAAATTGTTACGTGTGAGATGAAGAGCTAATGGCTTCATCCTTATTTCATTTCGAACAGCATCTATATGTGATTTTGTGAGGTAAAGCACTACTGAAATAGTTTTAAATATGTATAAAAGAATGCACAATACTGCTTATTGTTAAAAATAATAATTTTATAAATATTTTCCACCCAACAGACAACAGAAATCTTCCCCCTGACCGACCATATGCAACTTGACAGTTGACATTGACAATTTCATACGACAATTAATACCTATGTCATTTTCAATTTCACTTTCCACGAGACTATTATACTAAAGGACAAATATTTTCTTTGAAGACTAAAAATAAATAATCAAATTCATTTAATATTTCTTTGCTCCCTATTAAATAAATCATGATGAAACACCAATATTATTATACGAATTAAAACTAACGTAAGGATACATGTATGTATTATCTGCATGGTCTTGGCGATACGCTGTGCTAGCTTTATCATCAATGTCAAAATGTAGCGGAACTTGATGTTGTTGTTAATGTCAATAATGTCTGTCTGAAATATAAACATGAAGTGAACTGTTTCTCAATCAGTTAATTAATTGTATTCGACCAAATAATAAGTCCGTAAAGTTCTAAAATGGCAGCAGTATTAAAGAAAAGAGCATTGGCAGAGTACAATAAAGTATTTCAAGTAAGATTCTAACCTATTATTACACAGCAAGTACAACGGGCACAACAACTATTATATCGTACCTAATTATTATGTTGCGACGTATTACAGGATGGGCCTGCTACTAAAAAACTACATCTCGTCAAGAAACCTTTGATAGGCAGTTCTGCAGCTGCTTTTGTGGGGCTTTTAGAAAAGTGCAAGTCCAGTGATGAAGCACTCCAACTATTGCTGCGTATCTCAGATTGCCTGCAGTTCCAAGAGTCGGATGTAGAAGAGGCTATAAAAAAGTTATCTGAACATTTCCAGTCTGAAGAAGAAGCTGTAGTTAGAGTAAAAATACTGTGGCTCTTCTGTGACATTGGTCTTGAGTGCCCCGGAGCCAATCTTAATAACTTGATAGATGAGACAGCTCACTTGATTAAAAATGAGACGTCACACAAGGTAAGATACCTAATTAATACTATTTACCCTTTAAATAAAAACTACATGATACAATACTTTTTTCCTTTTTTTTTGCTTGACATTCAAAAGTGAATATTTCAAGAAACTCTAATACAATGTTTGCTTTGCATTGCAATAGGTAATAGCACAAGGCATAGCCACATTGCTCAAACTGGGCAGCAAATTGAGTGATGACAAGATTCTAATGATGCGTCTGGTGGCTGTGGCCAAGGATAACCTGAAAGACACTAGTCACCAGGTGAAGTGTAGGTGTCTGCAGCTCATTAGTGAACTGTATCCAATATACCCAGAGTCTGAGAGAACCACAGAGATGGCAGCTGAGGCTGATGCTATTGTGAAGCTGCTCGGAGATTATTCACATGCTGAGGTATGGACATTTTACAAAAGTGCATAATATGACTTGGAGTTTACTTTTTCTAACTCAGAAAATCAAATTAATATAATTTTTCCCAAAAACTCGGATGCCTTATATACTTTTTAAAACTGTTTTATAGGTCCCTTGGTAATATAAAAAGTGTAAATGTAAAAAAGGGCTTGGTAATGCTCTTAAAATAATTATTAATTATAAAATGAGAAATAGTTTGTATAATTTCATTAAGGAAAATGGGTCTTATTAGTCACACATTATGTAAACTGTTCATTGATTGTGCATAATCATATAATTTTACAGGATGCTAGAGTGCGCTGTGAAGCATTTCAGTCCCTCCTCACCATGCATGAGAGAGGACAGACTCTGAGTGCCTCACTGTATGATCTGGTGTGTGTGGCACTTTCTGATGACTATGAGATTGTCAGGGAGGTGGCTCTCAAGCTGGTTTGGGTGCTTGGAAATAAGTACCCAGAGAAGTAAGTATGTTATAGGGGATCCTGTTTTGTGTAGATTACATAGGCTTTTAGGCAATCAATATTATAATAAATGCATACAATTCTAGACTATTATTATTACAAATCAAAAAATGTAGTCTTAGAAAAGCAATGAAATTGATTATACATTTTTTACTATTTATTAAACTAGAACTCATAGCAACAGACATGGGTAGAGCCTGAGTTCTGACCTTGAAATGTGACCCAGAAAACACTATAAAATAAGTTTGAATATTAAAAAATCGACAAAAAATTAATCTTTTCAGTACAATAACTCTATGTGATGGTGAGACGACGATGCGATTGGTAGACGATGCATTTGTGCGCATATGTTCAGCAGTGAATGACTTGTGTATGCAAGTACGTGCGTTGGCCTGCACCTTGCTGGGAACTACTCGCGCCGTATCTGATCGCTTTCTACTGCAGACTTTGGACAAACAGCTTATGAGTAATATGAAGGTATGCTCTTTACTAAAGTCTGTATATTTTTCTGTGACGTGCTTATGTGACGGGAAATTTTATTATTTCATATAAACTAGTGCTTGACTGCAATCCCACATGATGGTAAGCAGTTAAGAGTAACTATAAGATGCTTACAATTTAGAGTTTTGTGTACCTACTTGAATTACCAAGAGTTTACTGACGATATGTCTTATGAGCATGTTGTGTGAAGTTGTGATATTGTTTTAGAAAAAGCGCACGGCGCACGAGCGTGGCGCGGAGTTGGTGCGGAGCGGTGCGTGGGCGTCCGGGCGGCGCTGGGCGGACGACGCGCCTGGCCACCTGCTGCACCACGACACCGTGCAGCTGCTGCCCGGCGGGGCCGCCGGCGCCTTCGTGCACGGACTCGAAGACGAACTCATGGGTACTCACTACTTTACTTTTGTAATATAATTATAATGTACCAGCTACTCTCGCGCGGTTTCACCCGCGCACTCACACCCCTATAGCACTTACGAATATTGTAGCTATCTATCAGTGAAAGAATTTTGGCAAACCGACCAGCGGGACCAAAGATTACCCCCTACACACAAACAAACTTAAACTTACAAATTTTACCTCTTTATAATATTAGTATAAATAATTATGTTCTTTTTTAAGTTATATATTGACCGCCATACCCGCTCTCCGATGTTATCTCTATTTTGAAACTTGTACATGTCGGTTGGTTGGGTCGCCAGTAGTTACTACTAAGCATTTTTGAAAAACGAAGTTCTCAGTGCTTCTTTGCGGGACCCGTGGAAGCTTTCGGAGAAGAACACTCCGTGAACAAATATACAGTACATTTTTTTTATTTGCAGAGGTTCGTACAGCCGCAGTGGACGCGGTGTGCCAGCTTTCGATGGAGAATGCAGTTTTTGCGACGACATCGTTAGACTTCTTAGTGGACATGTTTAACGACGAGATCGAGGACGTGCGTCTGCGCGCCATCGACAGTCTCACGCGCATCGCGCACCACATCGTGCTCAGGGAGGACCAGCTCGAGACTATACTGGGGGCTTTAGAGGTAACTGATTATATATATGTACTAGCTTTTGCCCGCGACTTCGTTCGCGTGGACTTAAGGTTCGTCCCGTCTAGTCTAGTAACAAGTAAGAAATACGGTAACTAGCGTACGTAGCTACTGCAGTATGCTCCTATAAACTACATTTAACGATCTTTTTCCTTCAGCATAAACATGCAGAATCTTCGCTTTGGAAACGTAAAAAAAAACATTGTTAATCTCAAAAATTGTAGCCTATGTGTTATTTCGATGTATAAGCTATATTGTGGTAAAGTTTCATTCAAATCCATTCAGTAGTTTTTACGTGCAAACATCCATACATCCATACTTACTTACAAACTTTCGCCTTTATAATAGTAGTAGGATAAATCAATGCTTTCGTTGTCATGTAATAACTCAAGAATGCCTTTATCGATTTGGCAAATTTTGGTCTTGGTTTATTCGTGGAAGTCCAGGGAAGGTTTAAAAGGTTAGAAAACTTAAGTTAATTTTGAGGCGGAACGAAGTTTGTCAGGTCAGCTATTCTTCTATAATAGTCTATGACCGATGGCCTCTCTTAACTATACCTACTAATATTTTAAAGAGGAAACATAAGGTTATTTGTTCGTATTGAATAAGAATCAAAACTAGGTACTTGTCCAATTTGAAAAATTCTTTCACTGGTGTGAAGTTTCAATATAAGTTGTTGTGTATTACAAAGATAAGAAACATTTCTGTATATATAATATCTGTTAATATATATATTATAAGAAACCTACCTACATATCTTGCATCTGTATGCATATTATTATTTGGCATGTTACCGAGTTTGATTTATGGGATTGCATCGGAAAATTCTGTCTTCTTATTATGTTTAATATATAAGTAATAAAAATATATTATTGTTTTCAAGGACTATTCAATGGATGTCCGAGAGGGTCTGCACCGTATGCTTGGTTCCTGCACAGTCGCGTCCAAGACCTGCCTCGAGATGTGTATTGACAAAATATTAGAGAATCTCAAGAGATATCCACAGGTAACTATGAAGATACATTGTTAAAACTTTATTTATTTATGTATGTAGTAGACCCCTACAGGACAAAGGGCTACAGATTTATAAAATTAAATGGTACAAGTTTCTTATTTTCGTTGCTTTATATTCATCTTGTTTAACAATAAATACAGCTGTATTCTTTAAATTTGATTTCCTAGTCACCCGCACAGCCCTTAGAAGCATTCGATTAGAGCTATCTGTAATGGGAAATAACTATTTGTTAAATAATTAAATCATGATAGTTTTGGGAACTCATTGAGACGAGTTCAGCTCTCTGTTGGTGGAGGTCAAGTCACCATAAATGTATATTAGAGGCCCGGAGGTTTAGGCACCCGCTTATCTCATGCATGAGGGTCGAAACCTAGCCAGTACCAATGTGACTTTTCCGAGTCATATGTACTTTCTATGATTATTTACATATCACTGACATACGGTGAAGAAAAACATCGTGAGTGAAAAGGTTGAACGTTTCAATCCGCCTTGAGTAAGCGTTGTGATGCTCAAACCTTCTCTGAGTGGGAAGAGGCCTTTGCTCAGCAGTGAGCACTTATGGGCTGACTAGCTTCCACCAGTGGCTTCGCCCGCATGTACGATAATAAAACGTAGCCTATGTCCTATTCCGGAGTGTATCTTATGCCTGTGCCACATTTTATCCAGATCCTTCCAGCCATAGCATATATAAATATAGTAAGATGATATGTTGATGATGTGTGTAATGTATATTTGCGTGTAGGACAAGCGGTCGACGTTCCGCTGCGTGCAGCGCCTGGGCAGCTCGCACGCGGCGCTCGTGCTGCCGCTGACGACGCGGCTACTGGCCGTGCATCCCTTCTTCGACATGCCCGAGCCGGACGTCGAGGATCCTGCATGTATGACTTACTTTCTTATCTTATCAAACCTTTGAGAAACGTGCGTACTCCTTTTCAAAAGTCCGGCAACGCGCCCGTGACTCCTCCTGTGCTGCAGGTGTCCATGGGCGGCGTTTATCACTTAACATCAGGCGATCTATTTACAATGTTCAAATTTTTGAATGTATTATTAGAAAGTTTTGTTGATTTTTTTACGGAATGGTAGGCAAAAGACGTCTGTCTATAGTAAATTTATCAATAACTAGCTTCTGTCGCGCGGTTTCACCCGCTGCTCCTGCAGATCATAACGTGATGTTTTACTACCTAAAGCCTTCCTCTATAAATGAACTAACAAACACAAAAAGCATTATTCAATTCGAACCAGTAGTTACTGAGATTAGAGCGTTCAAACAAACAAAGTCTTTAGATTTATAACATTGGTATAGATTTACTTAATTTTGTTGTATCAGCTTCGTAACTGTTCAAAGTATTGTTTCCTCGTTGTCAGACATGTGTGTACTGATCCTGGTCCTGAACGCGGCGCAGCACTGCCCCACGATGCTGCCCCTCTTCGAGGAGCATACCATCAAGCACTACACCTACCTGCGCGATACCATGCCGCATCTCGTGCCTTACCTACCTATCGGTGAGTCACTACATACATAAAGTGTTCACGAAAATTTTCGTGCACAAAAATAAGTTATTTCCTTAGAAGATAATTATTTTTCCTTACAAAAATATATACATTCATTAATTTTACAGTAATTGGCCTAATTTTTCAGAAAAAAAGTATTCTATTTGACTTAGAAGCGTAATGAATATTTTCCGATTTCATACAAAAAACATGGAAGAGTATCGTTTTTGACATTTCGGTATACCTAGTATTATTTGATTTTGACTTGTCGGAAAGTACCAGATTGTATGTTGTTTTTTCAGAGAATTAATTAAACACACAATTTGTTAGTTATAAGTTTTACATACCTACATATTTACTAGCGGTCGCCCGCGGCTCCTCCCGCGTGTATGTTAGTGCGATTGTACACTTTTTCAAGTTTTTTTTTAATTTTTTCTACGTACAAACCTTTTTTGAACTTCCACGAATAATTCAAGATCAAAATTAACCAAATCGGTAAAGGCATTGTTGACTTATAACATAACAAGGAAAAGTGGCATTGATTTTTATATTTATAGATTATGAGTAATAGTATGTTGCCTGCAGGTGACGCCCAGCAGTCGAGTGCGGAGAAAATAGAGTCAGCGATGGACGACAGCGCGGTGCGGAGGTTCTTCTCGTCCGTGTTGCAACACATCGACAACCCCGCGCTCTCTACCGCCGTCAGGCTCAACATGCTGCACTCCGCTGAGGAACAACTCAACAAGTACGTTTATCATTCATTATTATTATTACTTGTCGGGGATTAGCCCAGCAGTGAAAAGCTATGGTAAGCAACTTGCTCCCTTAATAGATTTGTTGCTACTAAATTAAAATTAAATTACACATTATTTTGTTATATTTCAGAACTGCATACTTAAATACAGTAGTTTCCAACTAGTCAAATTCAATACTTTTATCTAAACGTTAAAAACGAAACTTTTCTAAATTCTGAAATTTGTACGAAACACTGAGTTATGAGGTCATTTTTTAGCGTCGTTTGCGTATTTCTTTAAAAATATATAAAACTTAGTGTATCAAATCGATCTATGAATGAATTTATTTGTATTGAAACGTCGAATTAATTTATTTTTGACCTAGGAAACTACCCAATTCTTCTGAAGCATAAGTGTGCGTAATGCACTAAATAACGATTGAACGAAATTGTTCAATGTTGATGCTATTACGTATGGCATAGAAAAAATGAAACAATTAATTAATTTTTTTAAATAGGCCATAAAACGGCACTTTTACACGTCAAAATTATATGTAAAAAACTAGATGAGGCCGGCATTTCCTATCTGACTACTCTGAGAAGAAATGCCGAAACAACCTCACAGGTCCGTCTCTATAATATTTCTGTAACGTAATTTTTGTAACTAAGACTCGTCTATTAAATAAATTTTATTATTTATTTTTTCTAGGACACTTTGTCCTTAATTTGCACTAATCGCTTCACTTCTGTGCGCCAATTTATGATTGATTGTTAGAGAATGCCTTGAGGCATTAAGGTCACCATTTACTGTGTTTTGTGTGAAGAAGAATAATAAATATAAGTACCTAGTCTGTTAATTAAGCAATTATGTTTGGTAATGAAGAATATTCATAAATCGTTGCTTAAATTCTTTTAACACAGTTGAACTCAAAAAATGGCCAAAATGTGTTATGCATGTCATTGGATACTGAATTTGACCAATCGCAAACAAGAGATTTTTGTTATTGACCAATGATGGCGTGTTATTTTTTTAGTGTTTGCGATGAAAAAATATAGGTACTTATACTTTTTGTGTAAGTTACATAATTAGACAGTTTCTTTAGAAAGTTTTTTTTTTTAATTACGCGGTGTTAGAACTTAAGCAACGAAATATAAGTAGTTACAGGCTGTTAATTATTTAAGTACGTGAATCTCCCGTAGACTGGCGGAGATGGAGCCGGCGGTGTCGGGCGCGGCAGTGTTCACGCGCGTGTTCGCGCGCTGCGTGCGCGGCCTGCACGCGCGCGCCGCGCTCTCCGCGCACGCGCTCACGCAGCTATCCACCGACTGTCTGCGGTAATCTTTGCATTTTATTTATTCACTAGCGTTTCCCCTCAACTTTATTCGCGTCAATTACTGACTTGCTGCTGATTTTTTGTTTTACCCGGGGTTTTCGGAATAGAAATCACCCTATGTTATTTCTCGAGTTTCAAACTATGTCTGTAGATACCAAATTTCATACAAATCGGTTTAGACGTTTTTTTTTTTTTTATGTGATAGGACGGCAAACGAGCAGACGGATTACCTGATGGTAAGCAATCGGCGTCGCCCATGGACACCCGCAACAAAGAAGGAGTTACTAGTGCGTTGCCGACCTTTTAGGGATTAGGGATTTGGAGATTTAGGGATTGAGGAGGGATTGGGGAAGGGGAAGGATTGGGCCTCCGGTAACCTCACTCACACGGCGAAACACAACGCAGTGGTTATTTTACGCCGGTTTTCTGTGAGGCCGTGGTATCACTCCGGTCGAGCCGACCCATTCGTGCCGAAGCATGGCTCTCCCACACTTTTAATGACCTAATAAAAAAACAGACACACAGTTACTTTCGCATTTATAATATTAGTTTGGATTTGGATAGCTTACTAAGTATACTCCACTCCTTTTATCAGCTTAGCTTCAGCCGAAATACGGCAACTGACGAAAAAAATCAATGATTTTCATGATTTCTATTTTTACATCTGACTCACGACGGCAATGTAAACAGTTATATCGGCATAAAATGGAATTCGACCATTTCTGGTTTGTAGGCTTGAAATCTTACTTTGGCGACCGAAACTTTTGATGATTGTAATTCTCAGACTAAATAAATAAATCTCCACCAGGCTACAGCATCAGTTCAGTGGCGTATCGGAACAAGAGAACGCATGTGTGTGGCAACTAGCACTGCGTGTGAGTGCAGCCAAGCTGTGTGCGGCGGCGGCGCAGCCCCCGGGCTCCGCCCCCGCGGGCGCCGCCCCGGCCGGGCCTCCCGCCCTCTCGGGCGCCGCCGCCGCACTCTCCGCTGCAGCGGCACTCACACATCACGCAGAGCTACTCGACAGGCTACTAGCCTCCGCAGGTAATTGAAACTTTTTTGTGATAGTACTTCTTTGAAACAAGCCAAATATCAGTGTTTAGCTTCAAAAACGGCACAAATTGAAATAATTTATAACAACATGAAAATGATTACCGTATAACGAGCTAAATAGATACACGAAAGGGATGAATAGATGTTGGCGAATTTTCCTTGTATCTATCCACCCCTCTTCTGTGTCTATTACCCCTCGAATTCTATTCACCCCATAACACTATATAACACTCAGAGCGTTTATTTGTTTGAGGGTTGTTAGAATTTTCTAAACTGATAAAAAAATTCTTTTACTTATTTTCGGTTAAACTGTGATGCTATTATCTTAGCCATTTGTATCCCTAGGACTATTATGGATACTTAATATATTACACTCTTTTTTACATACGAGAAAGATGTTTATTATTTGTATTTTCTTTATACAGGAGTGGAGCCGGACCCGTTCACGATAGCGGTGTTCCGTCAATTGTCAATGAACGCGGACCACAAGCCGGCCGCGCTGGCCCGCGCCATCATGCCACTGTTGCAGTCCGCGCCACTGCCTGTCATACCCGCTCCGAATATCAAGGTACACAGTTATTTGCAACGATAATACTTCTTCTTCTCTGCCGATTCATCAGACAAAATCGGAAGTCTTTGTCGGCCCAGGGTCGTCATGTGATAGTGGAGATAGCTCTCAGTTTTCTCCTCCCGATTTCCCCACCATTTACTACGATTATAACTATAGTCAAGGCGTTATTTGTATTTTTCTAACCTATATCTTAAGGGCATAGTCAAGCATTTTGAATTTTCGCACTCAAATTGTAAATTCGTTTTACTTTTGTCAATAAATCTGTATGAGAATATTTGTATTTGTTAGCTCTCCTGACAACAATTCCTGGCAAACACAACAAGAACAGAATTATCTAGCGCAATCGGTTCAGCTGTTCGCGAGATTCGTGCTTAGTTAGTAACAACACATTTATACATTTAATTACTTTTTTTTATAGATCCGCATGTGCACGGCTAGTATCCTAGAGCCGGCGGCGGACAACGACACAGTGGTGCGGTTCAGCGCGGGGCTCGTCGCGGGCGTCGCGCTGGAGGCCGAGGTACTGCGCGTGCGCTGCCCCGGACAGATCCGCGTGCGCGTCGCCTACCCAGACACTAGGGTGCACGCACTCGTACCACACAAGGACCATCTTAGACCACTCGACCACCAGAATACGAGTAAGTTATGAATAAAACGCGTATTATCTTCTGTGAGGGGTATTAAATTATACAAAATACCTATAACTATTATTTTTGGTGGCACACCTCGAATATGAGCCCCTAGCGTGGCTAGAAAGTAGAGTTATCTCGCCAATCAGTAAGGCAATATATTCCTCGAAAGAGGTTTCAATTCTGCGCTCGTTTCATAAACAACCCATTACTGGTCGTACGCGGTATAAGAGTACATAATATAATGAATTCATAATTTGAAATAATTTCATTACTTGGCAAACGGGTTGCAGACATAAAGAGCATTATCGTTGGCCTGTCAATTGGGTAGTAAGTATCGTTTTTGACGTTTGGATAAAAGTAAAAGTATTGAATTTGACTAGTTGGAAACTACCGTATTGTGTAGTCCCTTGGGTTATTTCATATCTTTTGACTATGACTCTTGTGAAAAGGAGTTAGAAAAGCTGGGCCAGGAATGGGAAGGAAGCAGGGGTGGTGAAAAAATATTCTATTCTGCCGAATGAATAGAATATTTTTGCCTTACCTTGCGACACACTACCTTTTCTCGTTTTTAATCGTCATGGATATTGTAAGTGTAGTTTACTCGGTAATATTACCTGTACAATATCACAATTATGTACCTACACAGCTACTGGATTACAGTCATATAATAAATTGCATTAATGTGCGTGTCTAATATTACAAGCGAAACTAATATTTGATATCAGATTAAAATAGCAGAATTCCAATGTTGGTGTTTTTGTATTTGTAATTAGAAATATACATGTAGACAATCTACATGTTCATTATTATACTGGTTTTCAATCATAATGGGGGTGCAGACTTTCATGTATATATTTTCATTTTGTTACAGATGACGATGGCACACAAAACGTGCGTCTTTTAACAAAAGTATTGATATCTCATGGAGTGTGGACGGAGCCGTGTGGGGTCGACATCTCAGTGTGTCTCGCGGTCGAAGAGGGAGGCGCGCGGGAACCGGCGCAACTGATCGAGCTGTGTCGCCCCGTGCGAGTCACCGTTGCTCCCAAACCTATCAAACGAGGCATATAGGCAAAAAGGACTTTAGTACAGAAAAATATGTGGAGATATCAATATATATAGTATTTTATTTTATAAGATTGTCGCCTTTAAAGTTTTCATCAGCTGTATAAAGATCATACATTGAGAATTTGTAAAGTACAATTTGGCAACAGAAACTTTGTGAAAAGAAAGTCTCTCAATTTTTATGTGCAGGGCCACAAACATATTGTAATGTTTTGAGAATAGACAAATAAATACATATTTTTAAATTATTAAAGTATTTTATTTACATTTTATAAACAACACAGGTTACATTGTACCTCATATTACAAATGGCCAACTTTGTTACAACTTAATAAAAGCATCACATTTCTTAGCTTAATTAAAAATACTATGTTTATTGCAAGTTTTATTTTAAATGATTTACATTTTTACTCTCATCTTACGAATTTTCATAGAATGTATGTATGGGCGCTGCTAGAATCATTTTCTTGGTGCAAAATCTATTATTTTAACAGTAAGCTGATCAAGATCTAATTTTCTAATTCTATTATTAGCAATGTATACAGGTTTGTTTCATGGGTTCACTTCTGCCTAAAACACTTACCCTTATCTCCAAATCAGCAAAAGTTTAAAGGGAGGTGAAGAACCATTGTTTAGTGTTAGAAAAATTTCATTAGTTTTTTGATATTGCACATTTTTTAGTAGACTAGAATGAACTCAGTTCTGCTATCCTGTCAATAAATATTACGAGTATTTATTCGATGTTTTTAAATAGACCCATACTCCCATCACATACCCTTAATCAGCAAATGAGTCTATCAAGAATGATTTTTTGTTGTTGTTGTTGTTGGCGCCCATGCAAAATTCTGGTTATTGGCTGATATAGGGTGATTATTATTAATAAGTTACATCATATCTTTCATTTTCCATCTGATGACAAGTTTGGCAGTATTTAGTAAAAAATGGAAGCAAATAGAAACACTTCTACATACAAAGAATGCTGCTGCAGGTTACAAATTCACTGCTGGTAAAAGTTATTCCTTATCAATAGATAGCAGTTCTGAACGAGCTATACAGTTGTGTATGAGTTGTTTGATGCCTGGCATCCAAGTGCCTACAGCACTAACATGGTCCACCATCAGGGCCCTGTGTATGTCATCTGCTTTACTTGGGTCATCATCCTTCAATGCTGAAACAAAAAATAAAAGTTGTAATTACAAGTATAAAATAAAAAAAAGAATGTGAGAAAGAATCTTGGACAACTTGGTTTAAAAACTAGCAACTACAATATCAACTTGTAAACTGGCTAAAAATGCTTCTCATATGAAGAAGTACATACTACCCACCACTACCATTCATCATGCAATCAGATTTCAGATTTCTAATCAATCATGCATGAGAGCCATTATTTTATTTTGAACTATTATATTATAATAATTCAAAATTGATTAAGAACATTATATTTACGCGGGTATTAACGCGGAAAATTATAATTTGAATACCTTGGTAGGCTTGACGTTTCGACCCGGTTGCACAGGTCGTGGTCACAAGCAGACTGAAGACGCGATGTCACAGCTCCCTGCATTCGGGTGATGAATCTTCATCTACCCCCTTATTTTCATTTTCTACCATATTAGGCCGTCTACACACTACGCTGATTATATCCACAGATGTGTTAACCGACTTATATAAGTCGGTTCAGTCTGCTTGTGACCACGACCTGTGCAACCGGGTCGAAACGTCAAGCCTACCAAGGTATTCAAATTATAATTTTCCGCGTTAATACCCGCGTAAATATAATGTTCTTAAGATGAAACGCGAAAGTTTAAAAGTCAAAATTGATTGTTAATAATATTAACACCACTACAGCCACCTGCAAATTGTTGAAAGTCAATCCATTACTACCATAGGTCACTTGTAACTGGCAATAAAGGAGTAATTAATGATAATAAAATCAATTGGATGAATAATTTACAACTGAATGTGTTAAGAATTTAAATGACATCACTTCAATTGAAAGAGAAAGTCAGGTACAGAAACATTATGTAATTGTTACATAGCATGCTGCTCACTGAGCATGAATTTGTAGTATAGGTACTTACTGAACAATCAATGTATGCCAAATATATAACTATAAAATGATGAGTTAGGTCAGGTACAGTGAAACAATAAAGAAAACCATATAATTCTCACCATGTGCCAACTCCTTCATTTGGACATATATCCTGCTGTCCAATTTGCCGCTGCTCCACATTTCCTCCATGACTCCTATTCTCCGCCTAATGTCATTTGCTTTTGCACCAAGCTCACTGCTGTTGTCTAAAAATTCTAACAATATCTGTTTCACTTCCTTGAGAGTGCTTTCACTGTCTACATTGATTTCCTGTGGAGGTACGCTAGGTACCTGTATGGGAGGAGCAGGAGGGAAGGCCGCGGGCATAGGTGGTATGTTCATAGGGGGCATCGCGACAGGGCTAGACGTGGCGCTTGATAAAGGAAACGCCACTCGTTTGTTTAGAATATTACGGGGCTTATTTGGTGTTGTACCGGGATTGTAAGACAATTTAGGAGGGTCATTCCAACCTGGATCGATTGGTGCTGCAAAATAAAAACAGAACAAGTTCAAAAGTTTTGTAATAATGTATGTAACACTAAATTTTACAAAAAAAATTCATTGTTTTGGTAACTCGCCTGTAACACCTGTGTTAGGAGTATACCCACTGCTACTCATTGATAATCAATGAAACCACCAGATATAGAACAATCAAGTTGTAGGCACACAGCAAGTGTATAATTTTTGCAGTGACGTTTTTTAGGTATTTTATTATCAATTATTTTTTTTTTTTTTTTTTTTTTTTTTTTTTTTATGGCAACTGAGTCTCCAATTCGATGTTGTCGACTATACTGCCAGTGTCACGTGGTGACGGCAGATTGATTGACCGTCGAACTAACATTCGTGGTAGTTGTTAGTATCTGAAAGGACGACACATTTGTTAGTAGACATATATAACGTGGATAAGTATATAAACAAAAACACAATCTCATGTATGTATACGAAAAAAAAAAAAAAAAAAAACATATTAAGTATGTACATAATATATACATTATAATTTACATCACACACCATCATATTTTAATATTATTTTGGGAAATAAATTGGGATAAGCATTTTATAAGTTTATTTGAAAAGTATGTTAATAGGGAATGAAAATTGATTGGGAGAGGGACTTGGAGGGTGGGAAGCTTTTTATATAGATCGAAGGACTGGGAATTTTGGGAACAGGAGAAGAAAATGTGGTCTAAAGATCCCTCATCAAGACCGCATTCACACAGCGAGCTGTCACGAACACGGATCTTGTTGAGGAATACCGGACTACAGCAGTGGCCGAGTCTCAGTCGGCACAAGGATGAAATAGTGTGTCGGGGCAACCTAGGGTATTTGCAGAACCAAGGCCTCCGCTGGATGCCGGACTGTATATTCGCGTAATAGACACCCTTCCGTTTGGAGGACTCTCCCCACACTGCGGCCCACGCGCTGAACAGCTTGTGTTTTGTGTCAGCACGTAAGTCATATCCGTATACAACGTAATGACGTCGCTCGACATCATTCGAGGCTGCAAACCTTGCCAATGAATCCGCGCACTCGTTACCGCATATACCAGCATGGCCAGGGATCCAGGCGATCTCAACATTTAATCCCTGTGTGTGGCAAGAAAAGAGCAAAGATTTTATTTCAATGACTAAAGTACTGTGTGTTCGAGAATGGAGTTGATTTTGACTGAGAGACTGTAAACTACTTAGAGAATCTGAGAAAATTACGGAGTTATTGAGATTATGAGATTTAATAAATTTTAATGATTCTAAAATGCCAGCACATTCCCCAGTGAATACCGACGCCTGGGGAGGACATTTAGAGAGCAGCGCGATTCTCGAGTTTTGGTAGTACACCGCTACTCCCGTGCACCCGTTCCGGGAGAGTTTGGAAGCATCCGTATAAAATACATTCCAGCCCCTCCAATATTTGTCTAAGGCGTGTTTAAATTCGACCGTCGCATTCACTGAGGATTTCGAGATGCCAAGCTCCAAAACAAGCTTTGGCCTGAAGTGAATCACCTCGTATGCGGAAGAGAAGACCGGAAGTACAGGGAATTGACTGATAGGTGCAGGGAGGTTTTTAAGCTCTCTGTACCGTACAATCACAGGGGGGATGGGTTTATGATTCCAGTATGTAGAGGAACTGTAGGAGTTGTTAATTAGTTCCAAGATAGGGATTAGGGGATGGACAGAAAAGGAAAGGACTTTAGAGACGAAACGGTCTGCCAGGTATTGTCTGCGTAGGTCGAGGGGGGGTTCCGCACACTCGACCTGAAGAGCGTTTATGGGGGATGACTTCATAGCTCCAATAATTATTCTGAGGCATTTGGCCTGAATGGAATCTAATTTTTTCAGTGCTTCCTTGTTGCAAGGTGCAATAAGGTAGCTACAATAGTCCATTACACTTCTGACCAATGCATTATATATGAGCTTCAATGTGTACGGGTGAGCACCCCACCATACCCCAGCCAGAGCTTTCAGTATGGATACCGAACGTTCGCATCTTTTAGCTACAGCGTTCACGTGGTCGACGCCGGACATTTTCGAGTCGAGAATAACTCCTAAGAATCTAGCGCAGTCCTTGATTGGGATAGCTTGACCATCAATCTCTATACGAAGATCTGGAGTGTGACGCCTGCGTGTAAAAATGACAGCTGTGCTTTTTGGAGCGCTTAAAGACAACCCATGGTTAAGTAGCCATTGGTTTAATGAGGCCAATGAGACATTCATGGAGAGGGCGGCGTCCGTTATGGAGCTGCCGGTGATCATTAGGGCGATATCGTCGGCGTATTGGAGGACATTACAATCATAATTTAGACAGGAGGGGAGATCGTGGGTGTAGATATTATAAAGGATGGGACTAAGGACTGAACCCTGGGGTAAACCTCTCCAGGCGATTCTCTGGACAGGCTCACCCTCAGAGGTTCTTAATTGAAGGGGACGGTTGGAGAGGATGCAGCTTATAATTCGGCAAATCCTACTCGGGATTCTCAGCTCTTGCAGTTTCTGCCTGAGAAGGGGTAAGAGTACAGAATCATAAGCTGAAGAAATGTCTAGGAAGACCGCAACCAACGACTCATTCCTGCTAAGGGCCAGTCGGATGGCTGACGTGAGGGTACCCACACTATCAGCCGTACCTAGACCTTTCCTGAAGCCAAACTGAGTCGCCGGAAGCAGCCTCCGGCTTTCTACCATCCATTCAAGGCGGTTTTTAATAAGATGTTCCAGGATTTTTATAAGGATAGACGATAAGGCAATAGGTCTGTAGGAGAGATGATCACCGGAGTCTTTGCCAGGTTTTAGTAGCGGCATGACAACCTGAACCTTCCAAGAGGGAGGAATATACCCGGAGGAAAAGCAAAAATTGGCCAAGTCAAGGTAATATTGTTTTGTTTTGGTTCCTGCCCTACTCAAGAACGAATAGGGGAATCCATCGACCCCTGGTGCTGAATCCTTCACACGCTTAAAAACCGATTGGAGTTCTTCGATTGAGAACTCCAGATCAAGTGGGTCGTGTGTTTCTTCGAAGGGTCTTGGGCAGCACTCCTCTTCATTCGGGACATACGAAGGAGCGATGTTATTAAAAAATCTATTGCTTAATAACTTGGGTAGATTGAAAACAGAGGGAGGTTTGGTAGAGTTCCTAAAACTTTTCACTCTTTGCCAGACTATTGTACTTGGTGTGGATGGACACAATGAACTACAGAATTTTTTCCAGCCCTGTCTCTTTTTCTGTTTAAACAATTTCCTTGACTTAGCCAATATTCGCTTGAAGTCAAGGAGATTCTCTAGGTTCATGTCATGGTTGTATTTCCTTTCAGCCTCATTCCTGGCCTTTATCATGGCAGTGCACTCACTATCCCACCATGGAGGGGAAGGGATTTTTCCTTTTGGTGGATTTTTCAAAGGGAAGCAGTCTTCTGCAGTGGAGGTTATGGAATCTGAGAATTTTTGGAAACACTCCAAAGCATTCTCTGCACTAATCGGTAGGAGGGACGAGATGCGATGGTCCAATACCCTTGAGTAAAGGTCCCAGTCCGCTGAATCCAAACGGTATTTTAAAAGGGGGGGTAAGGATTTATCGGGAATGGATTTTAAAGGGTTTTGGATTATGATGGGATAGTGATCACTGCCATAGGTCAAATCCAAACAACTCCAATTCAGCAGGCTAGCCATCCCGGAGGAGCAGATGGTCAAGTCCACACAACTGTTTCTTTGACCAAATGCTGATCTCCGGGTAGGACTACCATCATTGATGACACACAAGTTGAGTTCATCCAGCATTTCTACTAGCTCAGTCCCTATGTAGTCGCATGTTTCTGAACCCCATCTATAATGATGACAGTTGAAGTCACCCATTACTACTATCGGACCACTGACGGAAGTAAGTAAATTTTTTATTAAGATAATATGGTCAATATGTGGATGAGCAATGTAAAACATGAAAATATTTGTGTCCTCAGCCTTAACGGCGACAACATTTATGTCATCGCCAACGAAGGGTAGAGGGATCTGGATGAAGGGTACTTTGTTATTAACTAACAAAGCACAGCCTCCATAACCATCAGATCTATCCTGTCTGACAACACTGAAACCCGGGATCCTGAAATTAATATTCGGTAGGAGCCAAGTCTCAGCAATGCCACAAATTTGTGGGTGGTACTTATTAATTAGGTGGAGTAAGTCACTCTTCCTGGGAAGAGTACTCCTCACGTTCCACTGAAGTAGTGTTAGAGGTTGGAATTTTGTAGATATAATCTAGGATTGTAGCAATTCTGTGTGCAACGTGGTCAGGTAAAACTTGGGCAGGATTGGACAACGCTGCCACCAACATGTTGGAGATTACACTTAATATGTCATTAGAGCTATGAGTGTTGGTTCCGAATTCCATTGGGAAAGCGCAACCGTTTTTGGATGGGGAAAAGGAGTAATTATGAGTAAGAGCCTGATGGGCCTTCACATCATAACTTGGAGAGAGAGGAGCATGGGATTTGGGTTTCAGGAGTACTGTTTTTTTATAGGACAGTCTTTGCTGTGGGGATGTTTTTTTAATAGGTGAAGTTAAGGAGTCATTAATAGACCTAGACACCTCGGCATAGGACCTTTTGACAGCAGGGAACACTTGGCTTGCTTCCGCATAGGAAATGGATTTCTCCGCCATCAAGCTTTTGATGCTTTTCTGACGGCCCAGTTCTGGACAAGCATTGTGGTTGGCAAAGTGGTTTCCATTACAGTTAACGCAATGAGCAAGTTCCGAAGAAATGTTGCATCCATCACCTGGATGGTCCTGGCCACACTTAAAGCAGCGCGGCTTCGAGCGACAGAGTGTGCGGGTATGTCCAAAGCGACAACAGTTGTAGCACTGAATTGTTGGGTAAGAGTACAATTCAACTGGAAGGGCAGAATAAAAGCAAAAAACTTTTTTTGGTAGTACTTGGCCATCAAAGGTGAGTACTACTGTCTGGGTAGGCCTCCATTCTGTACCATTCACGGAAGTCACCTTCCTATTCATTCTCCTAGCTTTAATAACAATCCCACATCCAGCGGGAACCCTGATGTTGGCAATAATCTCCTCCTCGGTCCATTCAACAGGGACATCTCTTACAATACCCATTCTTGTTATGTTGAATTGTGGGATTGTGGTATTGTAATTTTGCGCAACCACACAATTAACAAGGAAACTATTTGCATCCTGATGCGACAAAAACTCAACAGACACTCTGTTTCTGCCTAGCCTTTTAACTCCACCAATTTTAACATTTCTTATGTTATGTTTCATAAGGAACATTCCGAATTTAACGGGATGGAGTGTTGTACCTGAAGTCTGGGAGTCCTTTAACATAACATAAACAATGTATGGGGGGTTATCCCTCTCAGTGTAGCATTGCCTACCGTTAACACTTTTGGCAAGTTTTGGTGGGTTGATTTGAGAGATAGGTGGGGAACATGCCGGTCTCTTCCTTTTACTTAAAGATGAGTCAGTGTCCATGGGATCGATTTCCGGGTCGTCATTTGGGAGTGTAACAGTTACAATAGGCTTAAATTCTAAAGGTTTATCGGGGGAGTGGAAAGAGGAAACAAGGGCTAAAATTTACTTATACTTACTACCTTTAACTATAGACACACACACAGTAAGCAACACAAAAACACGAAACACAAATATACGAGATTTCAATTCAGATCACTATAAAAAAGATCACTAAAATTGATAACAATCGTCGTAATGACAAAAACACGTGCGTATCCTTCACCACTACCGACGAAAAAACTATCAATTATTTAATAGAGAAACGTAAACTTAGCAATATTTTCAACCCGCCACGATGACAGCTGACAGATGACAGTGACATTGTGATATGAAATTATGAATCATACACAGATATTACTAAAGTAGGGGATGCAATAATATAAATGAAATCCGTGCAGTAAATTAAATTAATTAAACCCGAATAATTCAGGTGGAATAGGCGCCGAACCAGTATTTTGACGGAGGTGAACGTTCTATTCGGGCCGAATAGAACGTTCACCTCCGTCACTCTTGGTGTGGCAGAATGCCTAATTATATCAGTGGCTTACCACATCCTGATTACAGGCACTATTCCACCGCACTACTGTATTTTTTTATCATTTCACTACTTATCCTTAACTGCACTACACTACGTTACTACTTTCATCTACGCGAAAGGTGGTAAGCTAAACTTCAGGACAAAAAATTAATAAATTGCTTCTCAATCAGAGGAATATTAGTTTTAACTTTATAATTAACTAGCGGCCCGCCACCGCTTCACACGGGTCCAACTACATATCTCGCTATCACAGGGTCACTTTTTCCTAATCTTCCCCTCTACTTTTCTAATAATATTTTCCTTGATAAGAACCTTGTCCTGAAAATAACAAACACAACAAAAAAAGAATTAGCAAAATTGGTCCAGGCGTTGTTGAGTTATGCGCTTACCAACACATAATGCGATCCATTTTTATATATAAAGAAGATAAGATATATTATTATGATGTATGTTAGGTAAGTGAACTGTTTCAGATTTAAAACCTAGGGCTATATCGAATCGATTCTGGGAAAATCTGAACGTGGTCAATAGAACAGACGTCAATTTGACATCGTTGTCGATGTTTCTTCTTGTATTCTGTCATTGAATGGGTTTCGGAATCATAGTGTGTGCTAAAGTGATAAAAAGCTGAACTCGCTTGTGAAATTTTTTGCCGAAATTATGTCGTTTCTAACAGATTTGCATATTATTCGTAGTGTTTTATCAATTTTCTTATTAACTTTATTGTCGGTACAAATTTCAGAAGGTAAATTTCAATGCTAATTGTTTATCATTTCGTTTCAGCGCTCAGTCTAAAAATTACGTGGCCTTTTGCTATGGGAGGATGCGAGTCTGTAAAATTTGATTAAAACTGGGCGTTATGTATGGAAACTAATGTAATAGCTATTCTAATTAATGTCTAATGTCTTTTCAGGATCAAAAGCGGAATTTGTAACATGCGGCTCTATTTTGAAGATGATAAATACCGACTTGAGATTGCGACTTCACTCACACGACGTGAAGTACGGCTCAGGGTCTGGACAGCAGTCGGTGACAGCAGTAGATGTGGCTGATGACTCTAACAGTCACTGGTTGGTGCGTGCTCCCATGGCGGAGTCATGTAAACGCGGGTAAGTTGCTATTCTTCCTGCAGACTTGATGTTTTCCAATCAGACTAGTGGAAGAGTCTGACAAAAATCTCGGAAATTTTTCCTAATTTGATTTCTGACTGATGAATTAGAAACTAAAACTAAGGAAAAACTTGCTACCATTATATTACAGAGTACTCATAACCTTTCAAAACTAGAGTCAATATTGAAGTGAAACATAACATAATGCCTTTTTTATTTCTCCGTCTTCCCACCATTGTTACACTTCAAATTTTTGTTGACTCAAATTCTATTTTTTTGGCTTGCTCTAAACCAAAACTGTTAAGGTATGTTACATTATTGTATGCCTTAATTGGCAAAACATGCAGTTCAATTTGTTATTTTCATCTATAAGACCTTACACACACTGTTTTGATGCATACTCATGTTTTACCATAAATATTACTCTATTCTATGCTATTCTATTTTGTATTGTGGAGCAATCACTTTTTAGTGAATACCACATGTTTCAAGTTAATTTGTTTAGGCCCTTAAGTTGAAAATCCTTATTGACCTCCTCATTTGAGGTGATAAGAAAAACGGATGGTAGACAAATTATTGTTTAAAGATGACAATAAATATTATTCCAGGGCTCCCATCAAATGCAATACGAATATCCGTCTACAACATGTATCTACCAAGAAGAATCTGCACTCACACTATTTCTCGTCACCTCTCTCGGGCAATCAGGAGGTCTCATGTTATGGCGATGAGGAAGGTGAAGGAGACAGTGGTGATCACTGGACTGTAGTCTGCAATAATGACTTCTGGAGGAGGGATACCCCTGTCAAACTACGACATGTAGACACAGGAGCGTAAGTATTCTAATAATTTATTTGTAATTATTTAAAATCTGAGAGTGTGCTCCACTCATTAATTCCTACTATCTTCAATGAACCTGTTACTAATTGTAGCAATTCTTAAAGCAAAATTAGAACTAGTTCTAATGCTTGGATCCATTTTATGATAATATTTCTTTGTTTTAGGTTCCTTGCTGGCTCAGGCCGTACATTCGGACGGCCAATCAGTGGGCAGGGTGAAATAGTTGGCGTTAATTCACAGTATGGCGCGTATACTGACTGGCAAGCTAAAGAGGGACTTTTCATTCACCCAGGCGAACTATTACCACACCAGCATGCAATACACTCTGAGTTATAATCTGTAATATAGATATTTATTGTTTAAATAATTTAACTTTTTGTAATTTTATTTAGGTTGATCATTAGATTTCAGTGTTTTGTAAGAGAACTATGCCAAAACTGTACTATAAAACAGATGTAGATAATTTAAAAAAAAACACTGCAGTCTACATTATGTCATCTACAAATATTTTGATTTGTGTTACCAAGTTGCTTGGAAAAACAGGACTTCATATGCTTACTACTTTTTACGATTGTGTGTAAATTTGTTTAACTGAGTCACAATATTTATTTCCTTAAAAATTTAGTGACATGACAAAACTATGTTCCTAAGAATAACCAGAACATAATACATTCCACTTACACAAACTGAACCAACATTTATTGTTGGTGTATTTTTGTATGTACAAAGGCTGGAATGAATTAAATTGTAAAATAAATAGAAACTTCTCTTATTTTCCTAATAACTTTATTGTCAAATAGTTATCGTTATTATATTACAATGAGAGAGGTAACAGACCTCAAAGAAACTTGTGTTACAAATTACAAGTGCTTCAAAACCATCGAATTTGTAATAATACTGACGCTTCACATATCCAGCTCATAAGAGATTTGACATAGTTTAGAAAAAAATCAATGGTGTAGTGGCATCGTCTTCTCGATGGTGTAATGTGTATTTTAATCAAATAACGCATTTATCCGATGTTACTGAAGCACAGAAACGAGTTATAAAAATATTGTTATAAAACTAAATAAAAAACTCCAAACGCAACTCGCTCGCACCGCAGCCCTCAGTCATGGTGCTCTCAATCAACTATATTAGGTATATCAAGAGAGGTTCAACTAAAATTTAATTTTAAATCTAAGGCAATCACTAACTCGATGAGGTGTCCATAAGTTTGTTATGTTCTGATAAGTACCTAAGTTTACAGAACTGATGAAAATAGTGAACTTCTTGAGTATATATAACATTCACTATTATTTTATCATGTTCTATCTATAGATATTACATAAAAAATCTAAGATGACAAATGGACATCTCCAATGATTGGCAGTACGATGTTGACAAGTTATCAACAATGCTTACAGTTTGTTTGTAAGACAACTACTAAATAAATAATAATAGAGATAAAATCGGTGGACATAAAAGTAATTCTTTAGAAAAAAAAAAACTTACTGAAATTGATTTTTGAGACGAAATAAACTTTAACAAAATCATGTATGTTGCTAATAAACTAACAAATGAAACAATGGGCGTAGAATCACCTCTAGTGTACTAACCCTATACATAGAACGTTAATCTCACGCGAGATTGTCTAATCAAGTATAGGTAAATATTAAATTCATTTAATTAATTATTATGTACCAAGTAGTAGGCAAAATTGTCGTGACTAACAGAGCTTATTAGCTAGGACACTGTTAAGTTTCTCCAGTGCATAGGTAAGGTTTGTGTAAAGCTTCTTATCACAGCCGTGCTCCTCAATAGTGCTGAAGCGGAATGTTCTGAAGTTCTTTTCCACATCAATGTAGGTGACAGCTTGCATCAGTGGACACAAGATGATCTTTGTGTGGTCTTGGAAGTTAATCTGTTGATGGAAAATATATCAATAATCAAACCTGGGTCTATAAAGTCAGATCTTATGCTTAACTTTGAATTTGCATTTATATAGTTACCTGAAGTGTTCCATTAGTCAGGTACATGATGACTGCCAGTGTGGTTCTAAACCACTGGTGAAGATGGGGCAGTCGAGATAGTCCATCACTCTCCCTTACTGGCACAGATGCTCCTAAAAAGGAAAAGTTTATTACACATTGCTGTAAAATATGTACTAGGATTCTGTGTTGATTTTGAATTGAATTTATAGTTTACCAGCTTTCATAAGATGCTCAGTCATATATCTTCTGAAATATGTGAGAAGTTTCATTTTCTTGTCAAGTTCTTGTGGGTATTCGCGCATCGTCATGTACTGTTCCTGGCCCTGCCGGTTGATGTAGTGCACGTTCCTGTGTTCAAAATATGGTCATTAGTATGATAGTAAAAATGGCATCTGTATGCTTGATGTAACCTCATTTCTTGAAATATACTTACAGTCCATTAGCCAGCATGATAAGCTTGGTAGTGTCATTGAACATAACACCGACACTCTCATCGCACAGCTGGTAGCCAAAGCCATACTTGTCGCTGTAATCTACCCATTTCCCAACCCACACCAACGGTTGGGCCGCAGGATCGCTCAATTCATCCGTTAGACACTCAGGGCGGCATTTAAGCTGTAAAAAGTAAATTAATTAATAAGTTGTTTCAAACATTTAATGTAAGATATTAAAAAAAAAATGCCTTTACGTTCCTACCTTGCTAACAAGCAACGAGGCAAGTTGATCGCGAAGTGCAATCAGGTTCTGTCTGTGTGAAGTCGGTTCCACGGCGCGCGGTTCTGCGGGGATCGCCTCGCGCTTCACTGGCGAGTCCACGGCCATCGCCACGTGATCTGTAATTTTGCATGAGTTAAACATAGGATTTATTGTTTCAATCATAATTTACAGAAGAACATTATTCCACTACAAGATACCAACCATTTGTGTTAACCTCGTTGAGTGGTCGGCGGTGCAGCGCGATGCCCTCCAGCTGGTCGGTCCTGGGTGCTGTGGTAAGGCAGGAGAGTGGGAGTGCGGCGGGCATGATGCCGGACGAGAAAAACTCGTGCTGCAGCAACTTATCCACCGACGGCCTTCGCGCGGGGTTCGATTGCAGCTGCAGTACAATCATCGATGCCGCGGGCTTGCGCAGTGATGATGGGATCCTAAATCACGACGGCTTAGTTAATATTCTATCCATTATTTAGTTGCACTTAAAATTGTTTAACGCATATAATATTTAAGTATTAAGTTTTCAATATTAAAAAGTTATTGATCTGTACCTAAACAGCAGTTATTTACAAATAATTATTAACTTTAGAGCTGAAAATTCCACAAAAGCCCTTTCACTAAACACAACATTTAAGTATTTGATGAGTGAACGACACAGTGCGAGACATCATTAAGCAACAGGTATCATTGGTTCCCTTGCTGAGGTAAGTAGATGTAACACGTAAGACGCGAGGTAGCCGCGTCACCATCACCATATAATTGGTACTGATCCACCTGTAGCGCTGGTTGACGGTATTATCGTCGACTAATGCGCGCGCGTACCGACTACCCAACGAGTGCCAGGGACCCGTGCAACATACGCTCATCGCTAGGTACACTCCCTCACTATTTAACAATACAAAGTTCACTCTTAGAGACATGTTTCACATTACTAATGAAATAGTGGGATTTTCTGTGTACGTACTAATCAATAAAATGATAATTTATTTGTTTGCTTCCATCTTAAACTATTGTACTAAATTTTGAATTGATGATAACAAAATGTAGGATGTTTACATTTATAATTTGTTCAAGATTAAACTAAATCGGTAGTACTGGCTTCTCCCTAATATTCGCGAGCAATTGTTTAAAACATTTTTATACAATTAAGAAAGACTTGGGTTATTAATTGGGATGGTTGGTATATCAATAGTAATTTTACATACTATTTTTTTAGTTGTAAAAAAAATAGAATGGCATCAGACTAGTTCAGATATTTTAGAACATTTTACTGTGTTAGTTGTTGAAATATATACAATACTATTATATTGAAGTTTAATATACCTACAGAATGTTTTCATACGCAACAAGTTAATAAAAAGTAAATGATTATTTGTCAATTTAGGTAAAAGGTGTTGTTCCTACCTGTATTCACACTGTTTGATCCTCTTGTACGTGTCTTTGAGCGTGGACGTCTCAAACGGCGGCTTGCCAACAAGCAGAGTGTACATGATGCATCCCAGACTCCAGATGTCCACTTCGAAGGAATGTCCCTTCTTCGTCAGTATCTCAGGTGCAATGTAGTTAGGTGTACCACACAATGTCTGTTTCCTCTCTCCTGTAGTGGCATAAGTATTAAATTGTAACATTTACTTATATTTTTATTTGTGTAATGAGAAATCGAAGTTAAGTTATATTGTATGGCAGAAGCCTAGTATATTGTGTTGTTCCAGATGTAATCGTGATTGAAATAAAACTAATTGCAAAGTATTCCATGCTACCTATTTGGTAGACCATAATCTTGAATAATGATGACCTGTAAATAAGAAACAAACCTTCATATTCAATTCTAGCAGCAAGTCCAAAGTCTCCTATCTTCACATGGAGGTCATCATCAAGGAAAAGATTTCCAAGTTTCAGATCTCGGTGGATGATGCGCTTGCTGTGCAGGTACTGCACTCCAAGGAGTATTTGGTGCATATAGAATCTTGTCTCTGGCTCTGTGATGGCTTTTCTTCTCTTGTGTAGTTCCATCATTGACTGTAGGATAGAGAAAACATATCTTGTGACCAAAGGTTTGAAAAGCAGGCTAAAGTTACACAAGAGAATTAATTTGCTAGATCAAATAAGATACTTTCATTGAAAAACAAGTTATGATAACATAATTTACACTAACAATATTGATCAATTATTCTAGATACTGTAATAATACTTACCCTTCTTTTACACAACTCAAGTATGATGTAAATATTGAGTGAGTCTTCGAAAAAGCTGTGGAAGCCAACCACATGCTTGTGTTGCAGTGACCGGTGAATGGATATCTCTTGAGCCATCTTCTCCTTCTGACTTGACTTCACCATCAGTTTTTTGGAAACTATTTTCCCCGCCCATACTTGATTGGTGGCAATGTCCTGTATCTCATAGCATTTTGCAAAGCCACCCTAGAATATATAAAAATTGGTCAATTTAGGACATAATTCACATCATATTATATAAACTGGATTAGGTTTTATGATGGCAAGAACTAGATGTGATGGTTCAGTAACTAAATGATAGTGAAAGACTGTATAGACTACATATTTTGATTTTACCTAAACTTAAACTAAAAATTAAATCTCTATTAAGATAACATCAGATGCAACCAAATGAAACCTATTGGCTTATATTTGCTTGACGTCTGTTTTGAAACTTATGTTAGGATTGGGCTAGATTAAACTAGCTACATATACAATACAAATGTAGTTATTAAATACCATGTATCTACTTGGTAAGCCAACAGATTGTACAATCGAATGTCATTGATAGTGCACCTGTTATTTTATGCAACGTATTTAAAACGTAACCGACAAATTACGAATCTATTTCCCAATCAAGAACTTAATATTTTGATGGCCATAAGTTATATGCTTTTCTAGTAATGACTAGGTAATTAACATTTCATTAGAAGTGGTTTAATTTAACGGTTATCAGCGTTTGTATTCTTATAAACGTAACAGGTGCTAACTCCGTTGGCATTCTATTTCAAATGTTGGAGCATCAGTAACAACATTTTTCATATAATTTTGTTCATAATCATAAATCCATGAAAATAATCACTAAAACTATTTGAAAATGGAGAAAAACTTACCTTGCCAAAGAATCGTAACCTCTGATAGGTGCAGTTCGTCTGGGGATCGTGGATTATTTCCGGGATTTCTTTCTTTTCGTCTTCTTTAATCGACGTCATTTTAAACTAGCTTAAAATATAAAATTATAAGTGAAATAAAGTTATGATTAACAATAAACTATTGATGATTGTTGACAAATTCACAAAGGAGATTTCAAACGGCCATACGTTTGAACTTTGAAGCAACTTTGAAGGCTATTTGAACGGTTTGGTTGCGTGCCCAATCACAGTGGAGCATTTTCTACCAATGTTGCTATTACGTATTTATAATCATTACTCAATTTATCATTGGATAGTATTTTCTACATTATAAGTGTTATAACTGATAACATATAAATAAGAATGATTGGTAGAAGGAAATTATCAATTTTTTTCTATTGATTTTTGTCAATATTATGTATTTTATTAGAAGAGACCCAATTTTTTACAATTAGTCTTTTGAGCTTAGTTTGGCAACATTATTCTAACTGTTTTTATATTTATCTCTTTTTATCATATTGAATATGAAAAAGGTGAGGATGAGATGGAGAATTTTTATTTACAGAACGGCGGTAATACAATATATAAAAGTAATAATTATGGTAATAACAATAAATATACTATGAAGACTAATAAAACATAATAATCCTTAGACTTGAACGTCAAGATCAATATGATTTCTACCCTTTTACAACTGATCTAAATTACATACAAATTAAATATTATAAAAATATTGATCTTTTGCAAGGCTAGTATGAAAACCTACTAGGTAGTATTATAAAGGATTTAAAAAGTGTACAGTAGGTTCTGTACCATATTTTAATATTTATCGTATCTGCGACATAGTAGAAAATAGAATATTAGCAGATTTTGAATGAAGCATATAATATTATGATAGTTATAGGTATAATTTCGTAAACTTCGTGGGATTTTAAAGTAAGTACCTATATCTTAAGTATATACAACAAACTTTTAGACCTGGTAATTTATTTAATTTTATAGTTACTTAGATGGTTTTTATAATTTTACTTAATAATATTATTGATTGTCTGTATAGTGTCGTGATGCAACAACAATTTATAAATCATATCATTCATCATCAGCCTAGAAGTGCCCACTGCTGAGCAAAGGCCTCTTCTCATACGGAGAAGGTTAGAGCATTACCTATTCACCACGCTTGCTCAATGCGGGTTGGCGATTTCAAACTTATAATTAGAAATTATAAGTCCAGGTTTCCTCGCGATGTTTACCTTCACCGTATGTCAGTGGTATCTAAATAATCATAGAAAGTACATACAAAGAAGACAATTAGAATGAAATTTTTTCGTGCGGGAATCGAACCCTTGACACTTTGCGCTTGCGCATTAGCCAGTTGCTCAAAAACTACGCTACGCATCGCAGTCCGATGAGAATAAGCTTTTTATATTTAAAACAAATCAAATCACAATATTTATCTTGTCTTACTAAAATTAATAAAACGAAAGTTACAATTTTCGGATGTTTGTTACTCAATCACACCAAAACGGCTGGACGGATCTGGATGAAATTTGGATGGATACACTCCGGAATAGGATATAAGTAGGCTACTTTTTATCAACATATTACGCGACCGAAGCTGCGGTCGTAACCTAGTTCTTATCTATACTTATAATAAACCTGTAGAGGGGTCAATTCTGTACCTACATGAAATATATTTTCAAAATAACTACCACCGGGTGATAAGTGTTCGATACTGATGCCAAAAATGCAATCAGTAAAATTTTTGTCTGTATGTTCCTTAAAGAAACAAAAACTGCTTGACGGATTTTAACAAAACTTAGTACAATTAGTCTTAATACTCCTAAGCAGGTTATAGGATACTTTTCATCACGCTACAAATAATAGGAGCAGTAAAGGTAAATGTTTTGGGAAAACGGGAGATGTTACTCCCATTTGTAAGTTTCCATTGCGTGTGTAACCTTAATGGTTAAAGTTACATAGAAATGATGTATGACAGAAATATTCTAGGTACATAAAATTATCTAAAAAATAATAATAAAAGTCACAATAGCTTGTGCAACTCCTGAACGCGCACGTGCACGCGGGCGAAGCCGCTTGCTGAAGCTAGTATATAATATAAATTGCATTTTGTTTAATATACCATTTAATTAATTGACAATTAAGAAGATAATAAGTAGGTACCTATGTAGGTATATAATTTATGTAATAATTATTATCGTGCAGTTATATTTGTATCGGAATATAAATATTTTATTTTGTTTTTTCCCTAAAGCATACATGACGGGTTTTACCAGGATTTAATATACCTTATCTTAAACATAAATGTCTACAAATTAATGTTACCTCCATGAAGGATGCGAACATTTTTCATCCAACCATTCGCTTTACCTGCTCAACTACAAAGCAAGTAGGTAAATCTTTTTAAAACGCTAGATAGATATTTATGTATGTAGGTATTACCGTATTACGAGTAGGTACCTACTCCTCGTTATAGAGATATATAACGTCGGGTAAAAGGCGAGAATAGCGGTGTGTAGCAGCCAGTTACCTTATACTCATACTTATTGTGGGTTTTAAATTCAGTCCAGTTCGATAAGCAGCAGCTGCTTATGGTGATGTATATAAATTAAGTAACAAAAAAGGTTCCAGGGTGTTAAGCGTTTAAGTTAGACTGAGAACACAGAACAGATAAAAAAGGTTTTTTATCTTTTAGAATTATTTTATCTTTTATCTTTTAGAACCTTTTTTATCTGTTCTGTGACTGAGAATGTGGGGCAACTGCAATAACAGTTACATATCTACGAGTGTTAGCGACTATTTAGGGCCAAAATTTTACATGAAAATCTTTTGCGACTTATAAGACAAATTAGTTCCGTAGTAAGTTAGGAATCGCGAATAATCTTATTGAGCGTTAGTAATATAAAGCTGAAATTTGGCACCAATATGTATGTCAATCACGCCAACAGAGTTTCAAAATAAAAAGTAAAAAAATATAATAAAATATACATGTATTTTTTTTTTATTTCAACCCTAGCGTGTGATATATTTTTGGATAGGTATTCAAAAATGAATAGGGGTTTACTCCAATCATTTTATGATAATGTTAATATTTTCGGAAATAATCGCACCAAAAGTTTAAAGAAGGCGTCCCCCTCTAACTTTTGAACCATAACGTTAGAAAAATATGGAAAAAATCTTAAAAGTAGAACTTCATACATTCTTTCTAGGAAAATTATTTTCCTTTTGTAATTTGAACCGTATATGCAATTATTTTTTTAAGTTTGTTTATACAAATATTTTATTATTCCGAAGTACCTATATACTTTCAAATAAAAAAAGAATTCATAAAACCCGCCTAGTTTGTTTTAATTAGTAACCTAATTCGCTAAGAGATGGCGCTGTACTTACGCTGATTTACAATGTAGCAGACGGAAAGCTACGGGATCCTACATTGAGCGTAGTCCGATATGTTCTTGGCCGGTTTTTATGGGATATGTCGGCAACCGCACGTCTAAATCATGCAAATAAAATGATATGTTATAATAAATCAATGTATCTGATGGTAAGCATTCGGCATTGCCTATGCAGTTATGGGCAGAGTTAATAAGTGTAAGAATTTCCGGAATTTTGGGGTTTGTTGCCCATTCATGCCCGCTATCAGATCAATGAGTAGCTTGGGTACCTATTACTAACTTTAACAAACTTCGCCCTAACTAATAAGACGACATGTTTATTTATTTTATTTGTGCACATAAGCTTATGAAAAGAGCTAGATTATGACACTTAAGCATCTACTTATATACTAATGGGCAAAGGGATCCACTCAAAATAAATATAATGGACCATCCGGCAGACATTCAAAATCTATTTAATTGTTTGCCTTACAATAATGCTTCTAACCGAAGCTTTGCAATACCTAAACGGGGTTAACACAAAAATTCATTATTTAATAAATAAATAGTTTTCTACTTATATTTTCTGTAGGTACTTAGTAGTGAGATCTGATTTCAGTAATTCGAATTGACTGATTCATTTTACTGTTTATCTCGAACAAACTTCCTGGCAAAAGTTAGTACTAGGTAAGTGTTATGGAATTTTTTGCAAGCTTGAAATTTATAAATCTCTGCGGCCTAGGGGTTTCCCGAAGGTCTCAGTTGACGTTCAAGTTAATCAGACAATATTTGTTGACAATTACTCAGCATATCGAACCAATACTTCGATGTCCTGAAGGACACTGATATCGAGAGCTTGGAATACTTAGGTGGCTCATGCGAATCATTGTATAAAAGCGTTTGTTTGCGGTAGTCAATGTCACAGGCAGGCGGCGTTGTACTCGTGCCTGCTGCGATAAATTAATTTATTGTCGTTAAAAAAAAGAGTGTCACTGAAGAGTTTTGATTAAAAACACTGGTGTGTAGTAAATTACATTTAAAAAAGTAAATTTTTTTTTCAAAAATGGAACGTTTACGAAGTTGTGTTTTGTTGATTAGTGTATTATTTGTTTTAAATATTGAAAAAAGTTACCAACACGCGTGGGTGACTACCGATGAATGTAAGTTGTTTTTAAATTATAAATTAACATTGACACCTTAACTCATTTAAATGGCCTTGACATAAACATTGATTGATGTTTGACAATGTGTCTAATTATATTATTTGTTTTACCTTCGTCTTTGTCCATGATAGTCATATGAATGTTGATCTATCGTAATTTGGAGGGAACTAAAGATCGAATTGTTTCGTGTAGATAATAATTTTCACGAATCTGTTATTAACGTGCGCGTGTATCTTATGATCAATTTAAAATAGTTTCACTTAGTTAACAGTCAGTTATGAAGTAACTATTGTACTTTAAACATGTGTTTTTTTTAATTTTAGGTTGTATTTTAACGACTCGTTCTAGAAACTATTTACAAAATGTAACTGTTAGATTTAAAATTATGAGAGTGAAAGATGTGGTAGTAGTAATGATTTGTTTTGTGATTTATTTTTATCCAGGTAAACAATAACATAACTATTGTTGCGTAATTATTTTCTTCACATCTATTAAAAAAGTTTGTGAGAGAGAATAGAGATAAATAGGTAGGCCCACCTTAATTTTAATTAAGTAATCAGCGGCCCGCCCCCGCTTCGCACGGGTCCAACTATCTCGCTATCAAAAGGTTACTTTTTCTTAATCTTCCCCTCTACTTTTCTGATATTTTCTAAGAACCTTCTCCCGACAATAACAAACACAACAAAAAAAGAATTAGCAAAATTGGTCCAGGCGTTGTTGAGTTATGCGCTTACCAACACATTTTGCGATCCATTTTTATATATAAGATTAGATATTTACTAGCGACCCGCCCCAGCGTCGCACGGGTGTAATGCTGATACTAAACTCCACTGTTTAATGGATATTATACAAATAACCCATATCTTTAATCACTCTATCTATAAAGAACCGCATCAAAATCCTTTGCGTAGTTAAAGATATAAATATACATAGGGATATAGGGAAGAGAAAGCGACTGTGTTTTATCCTATGTAGTGATACCATTATTACGGCTGAAGCTCCTGGCAGAACCTAGTGAAATTTACCTACCGTTTTCTTTAGGTAGGTACTTACTTAAATAGAGTTGTGGTATTACCTACCTACCATCTAGACGTTAACCTACTTCTTTAGATCTATTTGAGTACTTTTTTAGTACCTATAGGTCATACCTACCATTATTTAAAGTTTTATAGTCTAGTATGAACATATACCTACCTATTTAACTTTATGTTTAGATTCGAGGACCAGCTGCAATTAAATATCTTTTCTGACGTGAAATAAAACACAGTTCAATTTTTTTTCTTATTATAGGTAGCATAGGTAGTCTAGGTGAAAAAACAAAATTAGATCCTAATTTTATCTGCAGTTAGAATGACTCACATTACCGTTTCATTGCTAATAACAACTATAAACAAGAGGTGTCCGTTAATAAGGCATGTCGTTCAAAACGTTACGCCAATAGTGAGCGTAGGTATTGTGTAGCACTAATTTTATTCATGGCATGTCACGGTCTCATGGTGCACTGCGAGTACTGTGATAAACTGCGATTGTGTGAGAACACATTAATATTTACTCACTACAAGCAAACAACCACTAAAAAGGATGTAAATTCTAATTAGCACCGGTTCACTACGGATTTGCATACATTAAAAACAGAGGATCTTAACGAGGTATTACCTATTTATCTCAAAACACAGCTTCTCTACTGAGTTAGGATTTAAAAAAAATCGGGGATAGGCTTTTGCAATATCGCATAGTGGATTTCGCGAGGGCGCGGCCGCAAACTGTCTACTCGAAGACAAACTCGTACGAACGCATCGCGTGCTAAAGTTGCCGTGCAACTGTCTACTTGCTACGAAACTGTCCTTATTCAATACGTTTTCACGACATGACTTGGTCGAGGTCAGGAAAATGCCGAGTCGTCAGCGTTGTCGTGGAAACTGTGCTCGTTTTGACCCAAGGGCGTATGGGAATAAAATCCGCACGCATAGGTTTTGATGCAAGGTGACTATCACTTTAGCGTAGTGTAGCAAACGAAAATAGAACACAATAAACAAAATATCTTAGACCTACTGATCTCCTGGTAGCGACTAGGGATTCGTTTTTGTATAATTTTGTGACCTTAGATACTTATAGATTATAGATCCTAGGTATTACCTATCCTTTGTTCTAAACCAATATTATGAAGGTATATATTTCCGATATGATCTACTTATCCACAATTTAGCAACATAAATTCTTTGACTTTTGATTGTAGATAATCGTTTTTACGCTCCGGCGAAAACTTTTTTGCGGTTAGCAAAATTAAATCCTTATTTCATATTTAAAATAACGCTTAAAGCTATATTTTGTAGCGACCAACTTTCCAATTTTTCAATGTTTGTGTACTTGCAGTGGAGAACCACATCAACCCTGAAGATCTTCTTGAATTTGCAAACATTAAACAGAGCACCGACACTACCAAATTAGACGATATCAGAGACAATGCAGCCGGTTTTGCAGATGTTATGGTAAGTATAAGGTATTCTTGAAGTAAACAAAAATAATAGCCAACTAAGTAATAAAATTGATAAAATGAAATTAAAAATAGCCTAAAAGTAGTAAAAATAAGCTAAGCTATTGACTTGGGATGATATCCACTTATAACTTAACTACCGTCTGCGTTTTATTTGACAATCTTCACGCATTTTTGGTGTATGAAGCGAGTAAAGTAAATGCAGATATTAAATGAAACGTTTGATGTGTTGCGTCGTGAGTTTTACATATTATCTACATAGACTCAAGTATGCCAAATGCTTTGGATAAAATTATAAGCGATAGAGCAAGTGCTGAATTTAAAAGTGGATGGAAAAAATAAAGAAATGCCAAGTGGAATGGCACGAAACAAATGAAATTATTGAATTTTGACGTAGTATGTTCAACATGATTTGTGCTGGGATATTTATTACTAATGATGCAAGTTTGGGTGACATTAGGAAGGTGTTTTTATAAATTAATAATATATTACTAATATAAAATTTACCTCGATAGGAAACTACGACTGGCCTTCCTGTACCGGGTACAGTCGACTGTTTTGGCTTAGGTACACTGTCACGGCAGATCGTAAGCCTCTTCAATATGAAACCAGATTCGTCAGACGACGTCAATACGCATTTTTACTTCTCATCACGAACAATGCCTATGAGGACGCAGGTTAGCAATATGGCACTTCAATCTTTTATAATTAGATCTTTTTGGATTCATTCCGTGAAATAAATTTCTACAGGTGTTGCTTGTTGCATGTTCAAGTCCTAAATGATAGTCGACTTGCATTCCAGAGAAGAGTTTACTTAAATAATTTGTTCTTGCAGGTGTTACCTGGCCCTCAATTCGGTCTCGCATGGGTAGACTTCAAACCGAATAGGAAGACAGTGATGATTATTCATGGTTTTATGAGCCACAGTAATGCATCTTGGGTCCATGACATGACTAAAGCGTTTCTGGAATGGGTATGTTGTCTGTCTTCGCGAGTTTATCTCGGTTACGATTATCAATATGTGTTCTATTTTGGCTAATTTGGTTTTTCAGGCGGATGTTAATGTTATTGCGGTAGATTGGAGTGGTGGTGGGAATACTTGGAAGTACTGGAGGGCAGTGGCAAACACTAGGAGAGTGGGCTCTGATATTGTTGGGTAAGAAATTATTTATGGTCAGTAGGTTTAGGTAATAAAACAAATGTAAGCAATCTTGGTACTTCTTTTTATCTGAAAGTTGCCCAAAAAGTTGTATGTACTAAAATGTTTACAATTATTATCGAAAGCGATGTTAGCTGACAAACTACATTCAAATAATATTTGTTTGTATTTTATATGACCTCTTCAATATAATATTCATACCAAGATTGTTTACCTTTAGTTACCCACCTAAACCGAAAGACCATAGATATTTTGGCGTTAGACGAAGTTAAAGTGGTGAAAAAGTACCTAACTATAATAAGTAGTTCTTTCGTATCAGAAGAACACAATACATGGTATGTCATTTTCAGGTTCATGCGTAAAATGATGACAGTGACCGGAGTAAGAACGAAAGACATGCATTTAGTTGGACATAGTCTAGGAGCCCATATAGCGTCGTATGTATCCTATCATCTGGGGAAAGTTGCACGAATTACAGGTCAGTATTAAAGGGATGATAACCTTTCCTATACGCGTGGGTGTAGGTAAGGTTTAACAGTCTAATCAATAATGTTCGACTGCACGGTTGGTGCGGTGGCTGGGCAACTGGCTGCAGTGCAACGTGTCGCGGGTTCTATTCCCGCACGGAACAACTCTTTGTGTGATCCACAAATTGTTGTTCCGGGTCTGGGTGTTATGTGTATGTGAAATTGTATGTTTGTAAGCGCGCCCACGACACATGAGAAAATCCTAATGTAGGCCAACGTTTTTAAAAAAAAAGAAAAAAAAAGTATATATTTTCGTTTATTTTTTAATTTTTCTCAGGGCTGGATCCAGCTCAGCCATGTTTCTGGACAACAGATTCTACGGAACGTTTGGACCCTCAAGACGCGGACTTTGTTGATATTATACACACTAACGGGCGGTTGCTCTCGAGGATAGGCTTCGGCTTCCCTGATCCTAATGGTAAGTGCTCTTACGATTATGCTGTATCATAAATACATTGTTCTTGCATATTATGCACCATAGTCCATGCAAATTTGAATATTTTCTGTCGTAACATTTACGCGCATTTATTTAATTATTTTAACAGATTATTTGAGTGTGTAGGGTCATTTAATACTTCCTTTTTACCAACTAGGTACCTATAACGTGGTTAGTATTTAGAATTTACGTACTTAGCAATATCTTTTCTATCGTTCGCAGGTCACGCTGACTTCTATCCAAATGGTGGCATGAAACAGCCTGGTTGTCATAACGAAACTACCTCCTTGTGGTCTCGACTTATTCCATTTTCATCCAGTAAGTAATAAATATTTGACAACTTTGGCTTGCTTGATATATTTGCACTTGTTTTATTTTGTTATGTTTTCCTACAGGACTTCAGCAAGCAATATGTAGTCATGGCCGTGCATACCTCCTCTTCACTGAATCTTTGATCAACCGTAACTGTAGTTTTAGGGGACATAGGTGGGACTTGACGTATGAAGGGTAAGTTCAAGCAACAGCTTATTACCATCATCAACAGCTCGTGACCTTGCTGGTGATAGACTCACAAAATAGGGGGTTTCCAGTAACCATTTCTTTTTTTTTTTGAGGGGAATGTCATGAAAATACTTCTCCCGCCCAGGGCCGGGCAGGAGGGAGTGTCAGACTCTTACTGACTAAAAACCCCCCTGTTCCTTCTCCTGCTCTGTGCCGAGGTCGCGGTGCCTCATTGCGCTTACCCCGCAACCCCGGTCCAGTAACCATAATCCCTATACCTCACAAGCGGGTTGGAGACAGCAGTTTTAGTTTCAGGAGGTTTAGGTTAATCAAAGAATTGGGTAGTTTCCTAGGTCAAAAAAAATAATAATTCAATGTTTCAATATAATAAAATATTGAAAATCGATACACTAAATTTTAGATATTTTTTAGCTATATTTTAATAAGTAGGTAAACTATTTGACGCAAAAATACTATGACGGCATAGCTCAGTGTTTCGTACAAATTTCATAGACAAGTATCGTTTTGATATTTGGATAAAAGTATTGAATTTGAATAGTTGGAATCTACTGTATTATGTTGCCTGGTCTTTGTTATATGAGTGTGTAATCCGTTAGGCCATTCTTTATCTGCCTGTCCATGATTCCATAACAATCTGTAGTTTAAAACAAAGGCAGTTTTACATTATAGTATCATTTCAGGGTAAATGCCAGTTTAGAAGCACCTTGCGACAGGGTCGGTTCCTGTTCAGAGATGGGCATCAGAGCTGTGGGCGAGGGAAGGTTGCTACGCGCTGCAGGAGCTTACTTCGTACTCACTACTGACAAGGATCCTTACTGTCGTAAGTTTATACATAAATAAAAACAAGATACCAAAAGCAGATTGACCTTCGTCCAAATTGTTCACGTGTGCTTAAATGACAAACTATTTCTATCCGACCCAGGACTTATAAAATAATAATTACAATTTAGTTCTGAGAATTATCTTATATACATACCTAGTTGATATTATAAAAAAGTAACTGCACAACGGAAATAGGTATAGAGTATGTACGCAGTGTTTTATAAAAGTAAACATTGAATGATTAATATATTTAATTGTAGTTATGTAGTACTGGTACTCGTTTTTATTATCTCTATACCCTCATCAAGGGCATGTAATGAGTTCCGCTGTGTAAGCATCATGCTATACGCGATGATGCTAAGTACCAACTTTGCCCATGATTCTGTTACCATTTTTTTGGTAAAATGTAATAGACCACTGACGTCTACAAGCACGTTTTACGTCAAACAAGAAATAAATATCAAAAAGTTTGGGTGTCCGTCCGTGTGTCTGTTCTCTAGTGAAGCCATTTGCTCGTTCCAAAGTGTAGATTCTAATGGAGAAGAACGAGCAAAGAACTGAATGGTTACTCTTTTTCAACCAATTTTACAATTCAGAAATCACCAAATGACTGTTATATTTTTGAAAGAATCTGTAAAATCCTTATAAGTGTCCATCAGTTTATTTATTTCCTATCAATAAACGCGTTATTCCTAGCCCGAGTTAAGGTTTTATAATCAGTTATTTTTTTGGTCCAATTACGTACCTAAGTACGCGTATTTCTTTACACTTTTTTTACACTTTTGCACATACATGTGTGTACAAGGTGGACTTAATGCCACAGGCATTCTCTCCCAATAAGACGTTAACAATTTTTTTTTCTTTAAGCCACGGAATGGGAACGCCGGCACCCACAACCAGAATTGCTGATAGACCTCCGCAAGGGTTTCCTTCTAGACCAGTTAAAGAAGACAACTTCTAAGACGACTGAATCCGCTATGTATGCAGACCCCATGGAAAGAGACTTGGGTGTTGTCCCTCTAACTACCACCACGCAAAAGAGCTGGTTTCAGAAGTGGTTCGGTAAATAAATATTGCCAAGTTCAATTAACAAGGAAGACCGCCATACTCAGAGTCGTTTCCTAAAGGTCATTTCACCCAGTCCAATAAAAACGTGAGTAAATAATAATAGTTTAAGTAGTCATTAAATATCTCTAAGTACGGCAGTTAGAGTTATATTTCATAAGGACACTGTACTTAACATAGACAGTTGTTGGTATTGATGGTAAACTAAGACTTTTCTTTTACCTCGAGTTGGATAATAATGAAAATGGTTGCGATTGATAGTACGACTACAGTTGTCCGGAAGAAATACGGCCCCGTAAAATATAACTGTGGGAGAGCCATGCTTCGCCACGAATGGGCCGGCTCGACTGAAGTGATACCACGGCCTCACAGAAACCGGTGTGAAGCAACATTTAGGATGAGTTTCGCCGTGTGAGTGTGGTTACTGGAGGCCATCCTTAATTATCAAATCTCCTATCCTTAAACCGTAATACTGACTCCTTTGGCATTACGAGTGTTCATGGGCCGTGCTGATTGCTTACCCCCAGGTAATCCGTCAGCACATTTGGCGACTTATGACATTACAATAAAACCGGGACTGAAGAATTGATTATATGTACATATTTTTAAGGCATTATTTATTAAACAGGCTCTATAACAGGCAAATGAAGTTTAAGTGTGGGAGAGCCATGCTTCGGCACGAATGGGTCGGCTCGACCGGAGTGATACCACGGCCTCACAGAAAACCGGCGTGAAATAACCACTGCGTTGTGTTTCGCCGTGTGAGTGAGGTTACCGGAGGCCCAATCCTTCCCCTTCCCCAATCCCTCCTCAATCCTTAAATCTCCAAATCCCTAATCCCTAAAAGGTCGGCAACGCACTCGTAACTCCTCCGTTGCGAGTGTCCATGGGCGGCGCTGATTGCTTACCGTCTGCTCGTTTGCCGAGCTATTACATAAAAAAAAAAAATGATTACAGAGGATTGGTACTGGCTGTAGCAAGAAGTAGTGATTATGTCGATAGTAGTTTTTTGTAGATATGGTAGATATTGGCTGTAATTAGCTGTTAAGTAATAAAGAGTTTTAATTATATTTAAAAATAAAAATATCCTTTATACTTCAGGACTTGGTCGCTGAGTATTTAAAAACGAATGTATAGATCTCGATTATTTTAGTTTAATTTGTAAATCTTGTCGCTTGCCTTGTAATATTAGTATGGGTTAAACTTCGTTTAGATAAGTTCTATTGACTTGGACGTTATTGTTTAAGTAAAACTATGTATAGCTATTATACATAATGTTGCATTTGTATGTTTTTACTTAATTAAGCTAGACGAACTTTATTTATTTGTAGTTTGTTTTATACTATTTAAATAAAAGTTATAAAACATGAGTTGTGTGTTATTTTTAATACTTTATATCTATTCCAATCATATTACATACTAGCTTCCGCCCACGGCTTTCGCCACGTCGTATGTTGATAAGCCCACGTGGTAATCCAGGGTATCACCTATATACATAGTATATCATCCTATCTACATACCATTTCAACCAAATTGATCCAGCCCGTTTGGCGTAAAAGAATAACAATCATACATCCATACTACAATTGTCACATTAATAATATTACTAGGATCATAGCGTTCAATCATTTATAATATCTAATTAAACCATACCTATCATTTTCGCGTGTTACCCTACAAAATATTCAAGTGCATACTTTAACAAATTACTTAACAAATGTGTTTAATCATATCTTCCAATAAATTATTTACATGCTATGAAATCGCAACCGATTAAAAAGCTTTTAAAGTTATTGCAGTCCTTTTTAATCATATCTAGTTTTGTTAACATGCAATAGTTTAGTCGGTACAAGTTAGTGGTAATAAATCATAACTTAATATCGATAGTAGTTACAAAGTGCGGTGGCACTTTATCAAAGGTACAGGTAACAAAAGTTTGGTCGCGAAAATGCGAGCCGCTGAAGTTGTTCAACGCGATAAAGAACCTCCTCCTTTAGTGAAGTCGGTTAGAAAGAGGTTTATATTCTTCGGCCGTAATAGTGGAGTGCATGGGCTGCATTACTTGTTTGATGCTGATAGAAGTCTACTATCCAGGTAGGGGAGAGTTCATCATATTTATGATTTTTTAAGCGTGAGCCTAGGGAAGCAGACGTCATTAAATGTTATGGCCATTTTTTTTCTTTTTTCTCTCAAATTACGTCGTCCTATTTTGTTAAGGGACATTTGCATTTGTATTCAATTAGGATGTTTTTTCCCATTGCTGGACATAGCCATATTATGGCTGGCTACTTAAGTAGGTACGTAGGTACATAATATGCGAATGCTGGTTTTGTAAATAACCTATTTTGGCAAATAATTAATGAAGTCTTATCTAAACGTAATATTTAAGTAGCCTGGTTTAATATTGTGCATATATACATTGGCTGCTTCCTTATCAGTTATAACAGATTATCAAGATAGCGTACATAGAGGTCTATGTAGGAAATTAAGAAAACAATTAGGTATGGCGTTTTTCCAAGTACCTATGCTATTTAGTTTATAATTCTTGAATATACATACATAGAACAACGACAGACATTATGTGATTATCAGAATTATGACTAATGCAAGTGGCGAGCTATGAGCCATCCTGGCTACCCCAAGCGAATGAAGGGTAGTCAACATTCAGCAGATTTTGTCTTGACAAATGATAGTGTTGGTAACGATGAACTAATGATTAAATAAATCCTAGGATATTTTGGTTAATCGTCCTGATAGCGTGTTTGGGCTGCCTCTACCTGATGATGCAGGATACAGGAGACCTTAGAGTGGAAGTGAACTTCACTCCTGACACGCTCTACTTGAACTGGACCACTACGTTTCCGGGAGTGACTGTGTGTGAGGAGTATTCTACTAAGCTGGCATTAAGGAAATTTAATAAATTGTACCGTAAGTAACTAATTGTAAGCATGTCGAAACTGCTAGGAGGATACAGGGTAGCTAACAGTAATTAACGAAAGAAATGTAACTACGTCCAAAAGACGAATAGATACGTTAGACAAAGAAAATGAAGAAGAAGAAAAATGTCGGGGAAACAGATGACAAAATGTAACTAAGTATGTCTATTTTTTTTAGTTTTGCGGAGGGCCTAACTCTTGGGGAAAAAGACTAGGGAGTGTGGGATTTTTACCTCATTAAAATCTCGTCAGTGGCCACCATTAACACCTGTATAACACACCGGGTTCTCTTAGTAGACCAACTCCGGATTCCATGAATCTCATTCCGATGACTAAAGTCCATGAACAGCGCGCAGCTGTTTTTTTTTATATTATGAGACAGTTGGTTGTTTGTCGGTGAGAAATGTATTTCAGGAACGGTCATTTCAAAGTAAATCTCAATAAGTAGTCAGTAAGTTCCAATTAAACCTAGTTTGCAATATTAATGATTCTCGAAAATGATTCTTCTGCTCATTCATCAGAACTTATACAATCAGGTCTAGGTTAGTTATGTTAATGACTCTCATCTATTATCCTCGTTGTTATCACAGTTTAACCTTCATAATATTTGTAGGTATTTGATTATTGGCAATCTTGACACAAATTAATCATTAATTACTTTGCGGTTTCTGTGTTAGTTCCCATTACTGTAGTTAGAACCAGACAAACTATTGATTCATAATAGCGGTCGCCATTATGATAATAAGAGGAGTAAACAATGGAGCTCCTAAATATAGGTTGGTATATTAAACACTGTGGTAAGGAATCCTTCTAAAAATAAACCGAGTTACAACTAATTGTAAACAAATTAAAATATTTGACGACGATCCATGCTACATTAGATAACTATTCGTGATAAAATTTGTGCTAAACTGGAAAAGGATTATTAAACATTTGGCTTGAAAAATTAAATATTGTTGTGTTAATAAACGTAAAAGACATAATTTCGTTTTTAAATGAATGAAATGAATTGGTATAAAAAGTTCAGTTATTTTGTCTTGTTTTCAATTGAAAAGCATACCAACCAACGTTTAACAAATTGGAACATGTTCATGTCTCTGGGGCTACAATTTATTTCTAGCTTTTTAAACGCAAACATAGGATACCTACGTTTTTCCTGTTCCCGTGCGGTCCCTGCCTTCGTGCTTCCTACATTCCCTACAGAACTTTATCTTTTGGGTTTAATTGCAGTTTTCAATTGTACCTACGTTGTTTATTAATCAATATTTCATTATAAAACCAGTGTAAAAATTAAATTATTGATTTCAGCGGACCTTTTAAGCCCTTTGGATTATGATTTCCGCTGGTATCTGACAGATACTCTGTTTGGTCGTGGCCAGTGTTCCCAAGCCACCTGTATACCTTGTGGTCGATCGGTAGCATGTGACGTGCCGTGGAGAACAATAATTGAACAAGTAAGTTTTTCGAAAAGTTGTACCGTAATAGTACCTAAGCTATGGGCTTTAAATAGAAACTTGACTGAAAACATAATACTAACAGAAAAGTGACCACAAACCGTGAGTCCAAAACCCCAACAAGTCAATTTAATAGAAGAAATAACAGAATTTCGTCATAACTACAGAATCTAGCCAAACTAATCGAGATACTGAGCAACAGATAAATAAACTATAATGTCCGAGTTAAATAACTTTAGTAGATACGTAAGATCAACAAAAGTAAAAGTTGCAAAGGTTATGGTAGTGACTAAATAAGTAGTTTTGTTCTTGTTTTTCTAAATAGGTAACTTATTTATTCCTTTTAAGTGGAGATTGTTCGTATAATGTTTAAAGGCAATATTATTTAGACTGGTCCTAAGTGAGTCATTTACTCATTTGTAAGAGCAGGAAGTACAATTCATTTAACTTTGTGTTCATGGAAATGGTGTGTGGTGGGACTTTACACTGTCCCGCGTAAGATTTATTTTTTTTCTAGTTTTTTTTAGGTTCAAATTCGTATAAAAGTAATAATAGCATAGCATGACTAAAGTTAAGTCTCTAAGATATTATTCAAATTATTTAAAATATGATTAAATTAATTTAACTCATAAATGACTAAGAAAAAGTAACAACAACAGAAAAAGACATTCGAAAGAATATGTGTACCTTAGTAGCTAGAGTAGATAAAAGTCACAAACCTTAAAGTTTCGTAAGACTCTGTTCATAACTGACACTTCAGGTCCACAAAAGCTGTCAGGAAATGGTGTCCGAGTGTCGGTATAACGATGTGGAGTTTCCATGTTGTGAATATTTTCGAGAAGTTGACTCGGAACACGGGTCTTGCTTCTCCTTCAACACTCTACAGCACAAGTGAGTAATCTAATCTTTGTTATGATGATAAGATCATCGTGTGGACTGATACGGACGGACATAATTACGGATTGTTATCTGACGTTCCTAATACTTTTTCACAGGGGAGAAAACAGCTTGTTTGTATTGAATAGGACTACTGGGCCCGGAGTGTTGATGTTTCGCTTGCTGTCTGATGCTGAAGTAAGATTTATCAATCATTTACACTGTCTAGGTGATCTAATAAAAAAAAATTTATTAGATCACCATCAACTCTTTTTTTACTGTTTTGAAATTCTGTTTTCAATCTCTTCTATCTATCTGTTTTTGTCATGTTCTAGATATCAATTCACAGTCCCGAAGAGTTGTCTACGTATTATCTAGATGGAAAGCTAAAAGAAATAGTTCACACCTTCATAGAGAATCACGTGTCATTATTATTCTCTGTGGTGGAGATAGTGAATGGTGAACAGTTGCGGATGGAGCCTATTGAAGTTAGGCAATGCAGGTATCTGCACGAGATACCTGATGATCCTCTCCATACATATCCGGTAATCAATAAGAATAAACACCATGTTAAAACAAAATAAAAATATCATAATGATCCTTATAGAGTTTTTGGTTTGAAGTTTGAAAGCTAATTGTACTTCTCCAGGTATACTCCTATGGAGCCTGTCGCTTAGCAGAGACTACAAAAGAGTTCTATCAGCAATGTGGTTGTGTGCATCCTGTACGAGATCTCTCATGTAAGAATCAATCGCTGTGTCATTCATGAAATTTAGAAATGTGTACCGGTCAATTTTAGCGCCTGTCAAATTTTAAAGAATTTGAGTTGAATAGCGAAGTATTGATAATGAAATAACTTAGGCGCCATTTTAGTTATATCTTTTGTGCTTGGAAAATGCCACAAGATTTAAAGTTTTACTTTTGTTGGTATAAAATCTATTAAATTTTTCAGATAAAAACATTTATTGCAATTTCTCTGGAATCACTTGTTGGGATTTATATGAAGGTATTTTTTACGCATTTACAATAATTTATGAAATCCACATTAAATCAGCATTTTGGTACCTATGAATTTAATGTTTATTAAATACTTAGGTCAAAAGGAAAAACAAGGTGGGGAAAAAATCGCAAAAGTCAATTGTTTGCCTTCCTGCGTTGAAAGTGAACTTAAAACGATTTATTATTCCAAGTAAGCAAATGTTTGCTAATAGTTATGTTAGCCTTAAAATAATAGAGTTGAATATCGTTTCATTTGTTTTGAACTAGGAGATGGGAAAAAGACGAAAATACTGTAGGCACGCTTGTGGAAGTTAGAATGGCATCACTACCAACACTACGATACCAAAGGAACTTGTTGCGAGACAAATTGGATTTAGTTGGTAAGTTTTATTATTTGATAATCAACAAATCAAAGCAAACTGTTAAGGATAACTTAACACCAATGTATAGTAACGTTATACCTAGGTACTCAATGGGTAATGGTAATTAGCTTACTAGTTACATTATTACACTTGTATGAAAACATTTGCACACTTCATCCTTATCTCAACATATCCCCTTACAAAAAGTGTGATGGTACGATAATGTTGACGCGTTTCATTTCAATAAAATTGTTATTAGTAAATATTTAATAATTTCATAAGACCGATTAAAAATAAGTTTGTACCTGTATACTAAGTAATAAGTTTAATGTCTTGTAAGTATGATTAAGTTTTTTATTATTCCAGTGGCAGTGGGTGGTATAGGAGGGCTATTCTTCAGCGCATCTGTCCTAAGTTTGTTAGAAGTGTTTTATTTGATCCTCCGACCTACTAACGATTAATAAATAAAATAATATTCTTTTCGTATATATCGTTTTATTTGATATACACCGTTGGAGAGTTGTTGCTAGAACATCGTAACCTATCGTTATAGCAACGAATTATGTTTAGTCGATAAGCAAAGCGTTTTAGTTACCATCAATCTACTTAAGTGTGGACGGAAGGTATTTTATAAAGTGTAAAGTTTAGTTTAGCCTAGTAGCCATGGGTAATACTGAGAGCAATGTCACAAGTGGTGTTAAGAAACAAGCTGGTACATCCCAGCAGAAGATGTACAAACTCGTTGATATTAAAGGTAAAGTATCTAATCAAGTTATCGTTATTATCATATCTAATTAGCCAGTAGGTCATCTGTCTTTTGCTGGACATAATATGCTTTTTTAATACGTCACTACTTACTTGCTTACACGCTTTCCGTATTCGACTTGGCTTTTCGCCACTCCACGTAGCTGCACCTTATACATAATAATAAGAGGAATGATGATGGAGCATCAAAATTAAAAATCCATTTAGGGCTGATTTTTCCGTAGTCAGATAAATGTTATCTGAGTAATAAAATTGTTGCTGTCACTGTCTTATACAAACATTCTGACGCGACAACATCATAATTATTCCCCAGATAACTTTTATATGTATAACCATTGAAAAATCAGCCCTTAGTTTGTTTATTTTGTCATCATCCCTATTACTTTTATACCTAAGTAATTCAATACATTTTCAATGATTAGGTGGTGGTCTCTTAGTAGACATGATGAAGAGAGCTCTCCAAAACAAACAGTATGCAGAGATAGACCATGCTATAAAGACGAAGGTGGAACCATTTCTGTACAACAAGGGCAAGGGACGATATATACCTATATCGCATCTCGTACTATTGAGGAATAAGGAGAGGTCTAGGCACAAATTGGTAATGAAAACACATTATATCTGTATTTTTTATGAAAATAATAGCCATAACGTTATTATATTAGGATCAAAATAGTTCGAGAAATAATAGAACTAATTGTTATCGTCAAAATAAACCTACACGTGTATCAGTTTCTTTATCAATAGCGAAAATGTTATTAGCGTACATAATTTCATAGAAAGTAGTAAGGTGAAATTACCTTTTGTTTTTAGTTGCCTCCGTTGAGAGGAATGGAAAATCCAGATGAGGAATTCGATGTGGAGAAAGACTGGCCTTTAGTCACACAAGAAGAGTATGACGCCAATCCATCTGGGTATAGGGAACTGTGCTGGGATCTCAAAGTAGGTAACAGAATTTTGTAAGTTATATTTAATTATCAGCAAGTTATTGCGCTCCTACTAGGTTAATTAACCCATGGCAATGACGATTTATTACAGAGGATTACGGTTTGTATTCTTTAAGCATTTGACTGCCGACAAAAACTGTTGAAGGCTAACCCTCCGCTAGCGTCGGACAGCATTGTCCGACATGGCGTTCTAAGTGTTAAGAAATGATGAATACATTTTTTTATGTGGTAGAGCAGCAAACGAGCCTGCAGATTACCTGGTGGTAAGTATTTGGCGCCGCCCATAGGACACCTGCTTACCAAATGAGTTACGTGTGAGTTACCATTTTTAGGGGATTAGTATTTTCGCTCTTGTTACCTCAATCACACGACGGAACACAGCGCTGTGTTTGTTTCACGGCGCTATTCTTACTTATACATCCAAAAAGCTTAGGGTAAAATGTTCTATAAGTCTCCATGCCAATTAAGAAACACGATCTTATTCTCATTCGTATTGCGTTGGTAATTGATGTTCCTACAAAACAACTGATAAATCTACTCTTTGTCCATAGGAGCGAGGGGCTGTAGGTGAAACTATTCTGCACTTGTGTTTGTTAAACGCCTCATCGCTATTGGCCAACCTTGCCAAAAGGCTCCTGCGGTTCTATCCTAAGCTCATCAACGACGTTTATATGGGGGACGAATACTACGGTAAGTTCAAGATTACGTAGACGAGAACAGACAGCTCAAACTGTGAAAAAGTAATCAGATTTCGTGTAGAGTCAAGTTTCTTACCTTACAATTAAGTTTTGGTACATCATCGGGGTTGTAAGTGCAAACGCAGTAAGGTACCGCGGTCACCCGGCTCTATTATTACATCTCAGTTCTTTCACACCGCTCTGTGGTATAACAGATATCATGGCTTCCCTCATCAACAAAAAAATAAATGTGCTGGGAACATATTACAGTCGTAACTCGTAGCTCGTAGTGCGTAGCGCAAACTAAGTACATCTTAGTCAAAATTCCAGGCTTGGCCATTTTATTATATTACAGTAAAGTAGCAAATGTTGGATATATTTTTATTTCAAGCCTAAGTATTTTGACTTAGTCAAATCACATCCAGACCCTATATTTTGTATATCACTTCATTCAAAAACTTCTTCCGCGCGGGTCCCGAACTCGGGACACGTTGCATGATAGCCGGTTGCCCAGTCGCCGCGTCAACTTTGCAATCGAGTAATACATGACAACCTTTTCCGAAAGTATAAAACATTGGCGTCGAGCTGTCTGCAACGTCCGCATCATTTCAATACAAATCCCACAATATAAGATTCATTACTTCTGAATCAGACAAAAAGTCACGTACGAAATCGATTTGTACTCAAATAGAGCTTACATAAGTAAAATTCTGCTCGTATATTGATAACGATTCGATATTTCATAAATCTTTTAAATCATTGTTTAGATACCAAACGTTAAGTTACACGTTTGTTAATATAATATATACTTATGAAAAACTTACTTTATGAAGTACGACAAGTGAGAATCTATTAGATCATTATTACCTTAATCATCTGATAGTAAGTCACAAATATTAGAACAATTTTCGTACTAATTTATTACTTTGACTAAAACTTTAGAGGTATTACTAACCTGGGAAACGCCTATTAATTGTTTTAGTACAATTAATTAACACCAAGTAATTTTATAATATCGTGTAGCAAAATTTGATAGAGGGCGCGATAATGTCTATCAAAGGCTAAAATTTATCTGACAGTGATTTACTGTTGGCATCGTTTTCATTTATTACATTAGATGGTCGATTGTAGGTATTCATATATTATAATACCTAATACCTTTACCTGTTACTTTGTTAATCTATAATGTTATTTGTTATAAGCCGAGATAAAGTAAATTAAAACTAGTTTTAAAGTACAACTAAATACCTAAGTAGGTAGCATTTTTAAGAGGGGGATATCATCAAATGATTTATCCTGCCCTGGGTTGAGCGAGAGTAAGTTTTTTTATATACTTAAAACGTTGCCTCGCACTAGAATTTTCTCCTCTGTCGTGGGTGCGTTTACGAACATACTATACAATTTCACATATACGCCACACCCAGACCCGGAACAACAATTTGTGAAACACATAAAGAGTTGTTCTGTACGGGAAGTGTTGGACTCGTGCCTGTATAAAAATCACCCGGAGTCTTTTTCTGCCACGGTTTGAGCCAGTGGTACATTATAGCGCTTGACCCGCGTCCCCGGTTGAACTAAATAATAGCAAACATTTCCTACAGTAAAAGGATAAATACCACGACTACATATGTACATTTTTAACTTAGTGAAGGTTTTTCTAATCCTCTAATCCAACGAATAGCTCAACGTTAATACATATAATCTATACTAATATTATAAAGCTGAAGAGTTTGTTTGTTTGTTTGTTTGTTTGTTTGTTTGAACGCGCTAATCTCCAAAACTGCTGGTTCGAATTGAACAATTCTTTTTGTGTTGGATAGTCCAGTTATCGAGGAAGGCTATAGGCTATATAACATCACGCTACGACCAATAGGAGCAAAGATATAGTGGTAAATGTGTAAAAAACTGGAGAAATTATTTCATCTTTGAAGCCTTCCGTTGCGTGCGCCGTGAAAACGGTTCAAGATACACAAAAAATATGTATTAAAGAATAATAGCTCTTTTAATGATCTAAAAAACAGTCCGCGACAGTATATGTCTATCTTTTAAGATTAACTCACAAAAACCGTTTTTATGGTACCTAATTTGGTCGAAATAATTTGTTTAAGTTGTATCAACATAATAACATTAATCTTTATTCAAATAAATATGTTGTTGGTTAAGAGTACTTCATTGTGAATAAAATTGTCTTTGACATAACTTAATTTCAACAAAAAACTTTAAAGATTACAATCCTAACTAATATTATAAATGCGAAAGTAACTCTGTCTGTCTGTTTGTCTGTCTGTCTGTCTGTTACGTTTTCCCGCTTAAACCTCGCAACCGATTTTAATGAAATTTGGTACAGACAATCTTTAGACCCTGAGACAGAACATAGGCTACTTTTTTTTCGAAAAACAGGGATAACGGGGTTGAAATAGGGGTTAAAAGTTTGTATGGGATTTCGTAATTTTTAAAGATAAAACCATAAAACTTAATATTTAAGCACTTGATAAGAAAATATGAAATATTAGTTCTAGCATTTTTGAAATTTCGACCAGCTAGGGGGTGAAATAAGGGTTGAAAGTTAGTATGCAATTTCGTCAAATATCACGTCCTAAGAAACAAAAAATCTTTTGTACTAGCATTTTGAAAATTTTATCAGTGTGATATGTAGTGAAATAGGGGATGAATTAAAGATAAGACCCGGAACGGATTCGGAACGGGATCTACAAAGCCAACCTTTATGTAGGTAAGTATACGAAATCTTAACTATTGAACCTAGGAACATGTAATTTAGAAGTTTTGGGTGTATCAAGTTACAAAATACTTTCGAAGTATAAATTCCTTTTAATGAACACTCTGCATCGCCGTCGCTGCCGTCAGTGTCGCGCACATTCGCCGAAGTGCGGCTCGGCGCTGTCGTGTGGTGGGGAAGCGCACGAATCTAACTGGTAGACATACCCAAACGGACAGACACGTGAGGACAGAGGTCGTTGTCGGGTGCGGTAAGAGAAATTTGCGCTTTAGAGAATTACATTTTTCGATCCAGTAAAATTATTTTATTGTTTCGTCTATCTTTTTAAGTGTTTTTTTTTCATTAATTAGATCCTG